TTGTTCACCGACGCCAAGAATCTGATGTCTTCTTGAGAATGCTCTTTCTTGTCGTCAATAAGCCTCTCGGGGAAATCCATGTTGATGGTCTCTCGAACTAATCTATCCAGATGCTTGAGCTGATCTACCTCTGCTATTGCTGTGACCTCAGCCTTGTTTACAGAGAAACTACACCTTATGTCACTCTGTACTTGTTCAGCGTCTCTCATCACATTCCAAACCACCCAACCAAGCATAGTTCTTGCAGCATGAGGGCTACCTGCTGGACCAGTTTTCAGATCAAACGGGGTGTAGGCATCTGCCACATTGTTACCAATCAGGAGTCCAATGTCTGCATCTATTTCAGGCAAGCTGATGTCTTTAAGATGGTCCCACCTGGAGATGTCATCAGTCTTTGGAATATGGTGCTGGGAAACTGGTATTGTGTCTTTGGTATACATGACTGGAAGATCAATCTCGTTCGTCATGTCTAAGTCGCTGACCTTCAGCCCGTCGATGAGATACGTCTTTATGGAGTAGGGCTCACCCATGGTGTCCAATGTAATGGACTTACATGGACCACTTGCTCCCAACTGCCGGGCTAGACTCTCACTACAGAAGGAAACGGTGCTTCCAGGATCCATGAATGCGTACGTTGGTACAGCCTTGATACCATCTCTCAGCCGGACTTTAACCGGTACAATTGCCATGGTGCATTGACCCTGCTGACCGGCCCTCGTATTACCACCTGCATGCTTTGCAAAGTTTGCACACTGCCCACTGCTGCCATCTGGATTAGGCTTTGACTCGGGCTTGGGAACTCTATTCTCATCGTGGAGGCAGGTTGGATGTCGACGTTTGCAAATGTCACAATTGGATCTATGGCGACACTCCTTACTCTGGTGACCACGCTTGAGACATCCGTAACATAGACCTTTGGATTTTGCAAACTCTGTTCTTTCAGACAGAGGCAAACTGGACAGACGCTTGCACTTGTCAGTATGATGGCCTGTGTGAGTGCAATATATGCACACGTTCTTCACTTCATTGCCAGACTTTACTGCTGTCGACCTGTTGTCTCCTTCTCTGTTACGCCATGTCTGCTCGGATTGGCCACTTGAAACCTCGGTTGCAAAGCTGCCCCTTGAACGATTGGTGTTTTTGGTGACGACCTTTGCCCCTGTGCCTTTTATATCTTGGCTCAGTGCCTCTCTGCCGTACATGGGATCCATCACCTTCTTTGCCTCCATCTTTACAAATCGAACCAGTTGGCTAAATTGGACAGTCTCGCCTTTGTCTGAAGTCTGCCGAACAACATTTCTCCACCTGTCATGAAGATAGAATGGTAGTTTACCCACCAACTTCCTCATGTTGTCGGGGTACTCGAGGACCTTCACTGCTTGAATGCATTTTACAGCATTTTCACACTCAACCAGCAGAATTGAGATGTCATCAAGTGCCTTCGGGTTGTCCGGACGAACACATGGCCAATCGAGTGTTCTTGATGAAGGAGTGGGCCATGAGATGCACGTCTCCATATCTAGATGCCAATTCTTTTAGAGCTGCAGGGTTTCCTTGCTCAGCAGGAAGATGGCTGAAACCTGAGACAACTTTATATGCCTCTCCAGTAGTGAACTGCTCCAAGTAGCTCATTCGCTCATCGTCATTATCAGTATGTACTGCCACTTTAGTGTTGAACTGCCGGATGAATTTCCGGTAGTCGACTGGTTCCCCACTAAACCGCTTGATCTCAGGAGTAGGCCTTTTTAGTTGTCTGACAACTGCAAGAAGAGCGTTGTCACCTGACATGCCAGTTTCACTTCGGTTGCTGTCACAGTGCTTGTCACCTTGAGCTGAAACAGAATGGTCATTATTGACATGCAATGGCACTGATACACTATGGCATGATGAACTATTACAACTTTGTTTACCATGTACTTGTACACTACTACTTTGGTTATGACTTTCTGGTGTAAAACTATGAGCATTCACATTTAGTGCAGATTGACCACTATTTGTCTGGTCTACCAAGTGTGACTGGTTATTGGGTTGTGCTACAATGGACACAGTTTCATTATTCAACTGCTTAACTGAATTTGAATCTCTAATTGAAACAGCATTTGATTGTAATTCAAAACTGTCCAAAACTTTTTCCTTGGCATGAACAATGTCCAGTTCTGTGGTCAAATTCAGCTCCTCTTCTTCCAACCTCAATTTCAACTTGGCCATCTCTATCTCTCGTCTCCTCTTGAGTGCCTTCATTCTTGCCTCCAAAGCCGCTTTCTCCTGCTCCGCCTTGAGTCGTGCCGATGATACAGCGCTGGCAATGGAAGCTCTTGAGCCCCTTCCACTGATGCGTGATATGCTTGTCAGGTTTTCGCTGTCGGTGGTGCCATGGCGTTGGCGTGGAACTCCGACATCTTGCTCCTTCTGTGACCGGACCGTTTCCCAGTTGGAGTAATACACCTTGAAGTTCTTCAGGTAGGTATCTCTACTGTCCCAACTGTTGTCCAGATACTCCTGTAATTCTTCCTTGGACAGCAAAGTACAGTACTCGCTGTTCTCTTTGAGCAAGTCCTCGTAAGTTGACATCCATTCCTTATATTCAGCGCGTACTTCACCTTGGTCATGCTTTTCATTCATGAGAAGTTCAAGCCTTTCAGTTTTCGACTTTATTTGCCTGAACAGCTGTGACACGCGCTTTGCTTTCATGTCCTTTTGGTAGGCAAGTCCCTTTTCTGTGTGCATTCTTGCCCTCGATGATTCATGTAAAGCAGTATCTTCACTGTCCATGTCAACTTTCTCATGGTCATGACATGTAGCTCCTTGCGTGGTAAGGTCTTCTGCCCCTTTATCCATCCTGGTAGTAAACGTCAATGATGAATCTCCCAAAGATTTAACGAAAATATGCTGTGCGCAGATCCAGATGATTTTATTGTCCGACTTCTGACAGTTTTGGTAGTCGTACACTTGTGGGCTCAGGTATAGGCACAGATTGACTACAATAAATAAAATGGAAAATAAAGTGTATGTGTTACAAGAAATAATCCCGAGTTTGTGTAACCTAATTAACAGAATCAGCTGACTGAATTACATATCACCTACATGTACATGTACTCTAAATACTTGCACACAAATGTCCAAACTAAAGGCTAAATACCCGTACACATGTGTGTAGGCCCCTACAATGTACAAGGACAGATGAGTTTATCGACCATGACCTAAATGCAAGAAGGGTTTATGTACACCCTGTATGATACTTGTACATGTGCTTAATAACAAGATCCAAAATAACATGCGTTGAAAATACATGTACATTTGTACATATTTTAGGCTTACAAAATATCACTAAATATCACATTAATTACTGAATCATTGATATAAATTATTTAAGAGTAACCAACCGTTTAATAAACCTTGGCCAGTTAATGCTTTGGGCGAAGAATTCCACAGGTTGCAAACTCTGTCGTCATTGAGCTGAAGCCATGTTGCTTTTTGCTTAGCACCCGTATTCCCGCGACAGCGCCCTCACTTGGCAAAACAAAAATAAGAAATCTATCTGAGTTTGGCCGCTACACTTTTGTAATTGGAGGCAAATATGTGCAGTAATGTTATAGTCACGTGGTATATTAAAGCGCACTTGTATAGCACGCTATATTTCATGGAAAATTTAGGGGCTTTATTTTAGTCAATTTTCGGTGACAGGCTAGCGCAGCGTGATTTTCGCGTGGTACGACAGCCCGGGCTTGTACACACAAGTCTCCGGTCATCGTTACACAAGACTTCCATGTAAGACGGCCAGAGCTTATTGCGCACTCCCACTTGTTTTAATCCAAGTCCGCTCTAGTTCGAATCAAAACTTCCGAGAAGGACTTAGTGACCAAGTTACAAATGGTGATAATTGAAGAGAGGAAGTGACGCCCAATCATTCAAAAATGGAGAGAAAAAATGAGGTCAAAAAGCCATACTGACGGTACTAAGCTAGTTTACTGATGTTCCTTTGCTTGGTCAGTGTAGAAAGCTCGAGTTGATAGCATGTGCATTTGTATGGGCCTCCTCTAACCACTCCATGCAGAATGATAGGCAATCAATCTGATGCAACTTTGCCTTTCATATCTGGTGGCGGGCTTGAACCGCAATCATGGTTCTACTTGTATATAGCCTTACACTTCTCAGGGTCGAAATAGACAATTTTCCGGGTACAATTGACCCGCAAATGGGTCAAATCCTTCAGTATTAGAGCATTTTAGAGGCCAAACTTGATGATTTGTAAAAAAGAAGGTTGGCCATGCAGAGGACTGCGAGCTCGTATTTCTGTGAATGTGGATGATGATCAGGTCCTAAAAGTTTGCAATGGAGCGAGGCGTCCATTTTCAAAATGGCGATGGGCTTCAGGACTGCTTTTAGGGGTGATCATCTTTGGATGGAAATTTCTCCCAAAAGTAATTGGTTATTCCCCAGAAAATTGAACAGAAAATAAAAGATGATGAAATAAGCTTTAACTTATGATGTAGGCCTACGTCTTGAACATCTCAGAGAGTGGCGAGTATTTTTCCTGAATTTCTGAAGTGGGGGCATTTATCATTGAAGTCTATGTAAATTTATTTACTGGTCTGCAACCTTAACGACGATATGGAAACCAGGCTTTATTTTGTAAGTGTAGATGAAGGAATCATTTTTCAAAATGGCAATTGGCTTCAGGATTGGTTTTATGGGTATCATCTTTATTGGCAGGGGGAATCATTCGCAAACGTCACCGATTAACTCCAAGAAATTGAACAAAAAGTGAAAGAGGGTAAATGAAGTTTAAATTGGTTACGTTTGAGAGTTATTAGTGTTTTTCCCTGATTAAGTTAAAGTGGGGGATTTATCATCGATGTCCATGGAATTATGTCCATGGAATTAACTTTCGTTTGCAACAGCGCCAACAGTCCACATAGACCGTATGGATAAACAGCGCCCTCAATAATTCTGAATCACGCACTGGTATCCTAAATGGTGATTATGTATTATAATATTGTGCGTCGGTTACCATTTTCTGCATGTATTATTTTATGTAGGGGCTGCCGCTCCGCGGCAAATGCGTACTTTAAATCTCAGCAATGTTTGGCCCAAGTTTTGGGCCCAAATTGCATTAAATGGCAAGAACACACAACATCAATGCATGGTGAACCACTACTTGACTTGTCCTAGGAAAATCGAGGCTAGATGCTGGCATTACGAGTTGGGGATCAGTGCTAATGCGAAGTAAAAAATTAGCAGCGACACAGGAAAACATCAATTTGCACTGAGCAAGTGTATGGCATTGGCAGGTGTACGGTGCACTACGTAAAACACCTGTACACTATTAAGGGCCTATGTATTTTATTTAGTGAAGATTAGCATGTACCGGTATTTGACCATCACTTCATTTTAACACTACGAGTGATACTGATAGAAGCTGAAACGATGCCTGATCCAAAAGACGACTCCAGTGTTCGAGTGGCTCTGAGGTAAGATTTTGTACAAACTTAAGTTCAACATCTTGCATTTCTGACTGCTAGAAAGACACCCCCACCTAGACCCGTGAACGTGGCTTGTAAACTACGCCACGTTCTTATGTCATTTCGAACCTGGCGAACGTGTTCTTCTGACTCCCTCCGTTACACACACTGGACGTTATTTTGCCCATGTAATAAGTACTCACATATGAAGCTGTCTTGAATTCTATTTGTACGTCAAAACTTGCATTTGACGAAAATTGAGGAAAATTCTGGCCCCGGTTCATGAAGTCCGTCCGCTACTGCTGGCTGCCATTTTCTCCCAACTGACGCATGCGCATTGCGTTTTATTTTCGTATGATTCGACGGCTGTTTACTGTCGCAGCTAAAACAGACATCGTTTTAGACAAGTTTCAAGTCCTTTCCTCTCTCACCGCACTGCACGCGGTCGCACGTGCGCCCGCGTGTGTGTGCACACACGTACTGTACACGAGATGAGCCGAGCAGCCAATCGTCTGCGGGGTTTTTTTTTTCGGGGTTGCGACATGAAACAGCCGTCAATCTGTCCAAGCGACTCAGACGCGTCCGGGGTTATTTGTCAGGGTCAGGTTAAAATCTAATTTCTACACGTTCGTATGGGTCTTTACTGATGGGCTAATTTCGTCGAAATTACACAACCGAAACAATCGGACGGGCAAATTTAGATTTCTAGGTGAGTACTCAACACCCATACGGAATTATGTATGTCGGATCGATTTCGCCAGGTTCGAAATGAAACAAGAACGTGGCGTTGTAACTTGTATACAACGCCACGTTCACGGGTCTACCCCCACCATTAGCTGAACCCTCCTTTCTGTATACCTCGTATTTCTCAGAGAACACCGAGTAGGTAGAAATGCTATCATCCAGCTTGGATTCACAACCAAAAATGATGTCTGGGACCGTCTACTCCACAAATTCACCTGTCTCTCAACGATCGATTTATAGCATGTATAGGGGCCTAGCAAATTAACACTCACTGCATTAGGCCTACTGGAAAGATTCCATATGTGATGCGATGTGATCAAGCTACATGAGTCGTTTGTCGACCCTGGTAAAAAAAAAAAAAAAAAATTACAGGTTTGAAAAGAGAACAATCTCAGCATTACTTACTGCTGTGAAAACTGCATATTGGTACCATCTTTAGCCAGGTGTGTTAGTAAAAAAAATATGGAAGTTGGAACACCAAGAGAGGTGATGAAGTGATGTAAAGAAGTGGCCCTATTTTGGCCTGTATCTCCAAATAAATATTCCCGACAAATGACTCATTTAGCTCGATCGCATCACATGTATCTGGCCATCACTTGTCAGCCTGTACACAAACCCTATGCGACTGGTCTGAAATTTTTAAAGAGTTTTCTAGCCTCATATATGGCCAATTTACTGGACTACCTCCGTAAATGAAGGCCACACTTGGAACATGTACCTGAACATGCTGAACATGTAGAACTTTGTCAAGTTTTGATTTTCGCATTTAGGCTTTGTTTGTATTTTTTTTTTGTGGCTTTAGAACTAGAACCTTAGAATAGAAGCATACTCACCCTCTTACAATATGTCTTAAAAAAGTGCTGCCTTTTTCAGATGTCAGTTTTCATTGATTTTGCGTGTAATTTCATGTTGAAATTTTGATACGCAATAGTGTGCAAACAAATCTGGAGATTAAACGAAAAATAAACATTTTTTCTATGCTATTAGAGTCAGTATGCTTCTAAATCGAAAATAAACTACAAACAGACTAAAAAAGCCTACATGTTGTGTAAATAAATGTGAATATCAAAATTTGACAAATTGTACATGTTCAGGTACATGTTCGGGTACATGTTCCAAGTGTGGCCTGGGTCATTCCGTGTCAATTCAACACGATTTTGGACCTGACCCTCACAGATTGAAACGATATTTGATGTGATGATTGGCCTATATGAGAAACCCCCAAAACTGCTTTTTGGGTGTGTAAATTGGCTCGTTAGTTTTTAGATACAGGTCAACGAACTTTTGACTAATTAGCATGACCTCCGAAATTTAAATGCTTGTATCTCAAAATCTATAGTGTACAAAGCCAAGTTGTACATCAAATATCATTGACCATTACCCAGGAGTTTAACCCTACTGTCTCTATCTAGTATTGCACACTTTGCTTTCGAAACTAGGGCAAGTTCTAATCACATTCAATGAACAACCAAGATGGTGACACCCAGCTCAAACTGTTCACACTGATGTGGGGGGGGGGGGGGAGGCTGGGGGGGGGGGCACCGGGGGATATGGACATCCACTGGGGGACACGGACATCCACTGGGGGACACGTGCCCCCACCAATGAACCCCCCCCCCCCCCCCCCCGCCCTAGTTACACCACTATCTAGAGAGCAAGCAAAATGCTGTATACATGTACATGTATAAACATTTGAAACATAACATCAGGGCTGTCAAGGTCAAGTATAGTTTACAGGTCAACGTGCATTTGCTGTATGTACAAGTACAAATGTACTTGTGTATATTTATGCAAATTAGGTTTTTTCCTAGACATGCTATCTTTAAAGAATCATAACTTAAAAACTTTAAGAGCGCCCATCCTAACATCATAAACTAACATTTGAAAAAAAAAATACGAAATTTGAAGCATATTGATTTTCGTAATTCAAAGTCAAAGGTCATTTCTTTACGCATTTTCTCTGCACTTCATGCTACGATTTTGGTAAATTATTATATGAAAAAGAGGCCATTCAAAGTGCTTTAAACTAACGAGCCAATTTACAAAAAAAAATTAGTTTTGGGGGTTTCTCATATAGGCCAATCATCACATCAAATATCGTTTCAATCTGTGAGGGTCGGGTCCAAAATCGTGTTGAATTGACACGGAATGACCCGCCTTTATTTACGGAGGTACATGTAGTCCAATAAATTTGCCACATTTATGGGGCTAAGTGTTTTCTTGCTAAATTTGACATTTTAGAGCATATTATCACTTTCTGATGGCTGATACGGTAGGTCACTAAGGGAAAAAAATTAGTGATGGCCAGATATGGGAATCTTTCCGGCCTACGCAACGTTGAAGGCTTAATCTAGCCCGACTGCCTCTGGCCGTACATACATGTACATGTACTATCAAGCTTGGTATAACGGCCACACAGGCAATGCTCCCCTAAACGCTAAAAAGTGATGTAGCAATTTTGCTACCGATTTTGATCGAGATTATCTTCTCATCCAAGACAGAAATTTCCAAAGCTACGGTAGGGTACCATTTTTGGCACCTACATGTAGTCGTAGAGGAACTCATACTTGTTCGAAAACACGTTCATTTATCTAGAAATCTTCATCCATCTGGCAAAAAAAATGACAATCAGTCATCAACTCCCACGAATATCGTTCCGAAAATGTGTCTCCATGCAGTTATCATGGTCATTAGACAGCTGTGTTCAGATGTGGTTTTCTGCTGAAATATCATGATGTACATGTCTACCTTTATTGTGATCCCTGGACAAGGTTAAAAAAAAACCCACATTGTTTGTGTTCAAAATTCCATAACTGGAAAAATACATGACAGATTTGAATGTTTCTTTCACTAAAATTTATCTTCTGGGTTTCTTTCCTTTGTTTTTACTCGCCCTGTATCAAGAAATGTTTCTTTAAGTCAAACTTGAATCAAATTTTCAGACTTTTTGCAAACCGACAATCTCATCCTTGTATGCGGATTTTGCGTCAACCAGAGGATATTACACATTGAAATCATTTCCTTTCACCCCCAAAACCCCATAAACATGCATGTCTGCACATGTTGTATGACATGTTGAAACAAGAAGCACCGCTGTTTAAAACCACATCAGGCAATTTCCAATGCAAACGTGCGGTACAATGTACATTCTGAGCAAAGTCGTCCTTGCAGTCGAAATCAATCAACTGACTGTTTTAAAGGGACACTGCGTCCTGGAATGCAATGCTTTGACTGTAGGTGATTGATTAGCCAGCTGTGCCTACCACTTGCTTTGTCTGTTGACTGAAAAATGCAAAATATTGCAATTTAGAAAAGGAAACTGTTTTTTTTTTCAGGATGAACATGTAAACTTTCAGTCTGCAAATTTGTTGGCAGTCGAGAAATCAGAGGTTGGGTGAAATTGTGTTAAATCATACAGGAACTGGGTATGGGAAGTACGCGGTACACGTACATTGTTTTTAATTTGATGAGCAAATCATGACTCATACAGTCTAGCACACGCTGTGAGAACTCCCCCTCATGCATGTACTACTACAAATACATGTATGGTACGAGTACAAACCAATGTATTGTGTGTACACATGTGCCGGTATACAATGTACATGTACATGTATGCACTGAAATTATGGTGACTGCTCTATGTTCCGACACCCCTATGTTCCGACAACCTAGATTGTGTTACTCCCGGTTAGGGTTAGGGTTAGGGTTAGGAATAGGAATATGTGCAGTCGGAACATAGGGGTGTCGGAACATAGAGGTGTAACCGAAATTATACCAAAGAGCTATGTGTACATGTTGGACCCAGTTGGGGGGGGGGGGGTGAAATTTTGAATGATCTTCTACATATGTACATGTGTGGTACTCTTGAAAAAGGGGTGTGCAAAATCGTGATGAAATAAAAAAAATTCAGGCCAAGCAAAAAAATCAAAACAGATTCCCATCCCCACCCGCTTCCTTTTTTCCCGGCCGTTGTGTTTTTAGATTTTTTATTCATACATATTGCAAACGGTATTTGAATAAGGGAATAACAGTGTGAGGAGCCGGTCTTCACTGCGTGATAATGACCGGGTGTGGGGGTGACCGCTGTTAATGGACCGAGACAAAGTCGAGGTCCATTAACAGCGGTCACCCCCACACCCGGTCATTATCATGCAGTGAAGACCGGATCCTCACACTGTTATTCCCATTAATAAATACCTTTATAACGAAATAAATAATTAAAATGCTCCAATTTTGTGACTTTTTTCCGGCGATATTTCCAGACTTTTTTGTGTTCATGTTCATGGGCCATATTTTAGCTTAACAGCTATAACGACGTAAACTCAACAGAAACTGCTGCCGTAGCGAAACAAATTACAACAATGTTTTCATATCTTTACCTGATGGAGGAAGCTGAAATCTCGTTTACACATTCCTTGTGTCCGGAATTACAAAGATACTTGGTTTAGGAAAGGTAAATATGTCGGTGGGTGAAGTGTTTCAAAGAAAATAAATCGTAGATCTACGCTTTCGTCGTAAACATCCTCAGTATATACTGCACTGCTGTACGATGTCGTTTCAAAACTTACTTACGCGCGCGCACGCACGCATCCCTAGCAACTGTGTTGCGTACGCGCGCGTCAGTCTCACGCGATGGGGGTTGAGCGCATGTGCAGTGCTCAATTGTTAAAAGCTACCGCAGGACTGTTACTATATTTTGACCAATCATTGGCTTGCCTGGGGCTGAACGGGGCTTGATCAATGCTGGTTCAGGGGCCATTTATTCCCTTGATCTTTGAAGCTGGTCCATTATCACCGTTAATGACCGGCCACGTGATCGAGTCTCGACCAATCAGAAACCATCAACTCTCCAAGGTATTTATTAATCCTTACTCTCTGAGGGTAGTTCACTGCATGTCAGTTGGTTATGCCAATGCCCTCCAGCTGCAGTTATTTGGCAGATAACAAGTCTTAACAGTGAAGGCTCCAATTGGCAGGAGTTGGAGGCCCTGGAGGGTGCCTGATACTGACCAGCTGGGGGCACTCACTTTGTTATCAGAGGACTCTCATTGTTCTCTGTGGCATGTATTGGAGTGCCTGTCCAGTTACCCTTGAAATGACATGGCAGATATTGGAGGGCCATGCAAAAAACATAGGAGATTTTCTTGAGGCACAATTGGCATGCATTGAAGGGTCAAGTAGGGTAAGGGTTAATGACACATAGTGCATGCCAATACCTGGCCTATAGATATCTTTTTATTTGTTTCCAACAAAATTGTAGCTACCGGTATGTACATGTAGAAAGAGTTATGGCGCCTTTGGACACAATTTTGTATTTCTATCGGCAAAATAGTCGAGAAAATTTAAGAATCCATCCGCCATCTTGGAAAAAAAGAGGAAAAACGCCCGCCCCCTTCCAACAGGCCTGACGAGAAACAACATACAAATTTTACTCATTACTCGACCTTACATGTAAATACAAAAAGGGTACACGATAACTCCAACACGTACATTGTACGTGTTTACCTGAATTTGCAAAAAAAGAGTATTCCTTTTTATCCTGTTACAAACGTAGTACATTTACAAAATGTACATCCCGGTACATGTACATGTACACATGTAGCAGTACCTGTAGTGTTCAACATGTGTATTCATGTACAAAATACACACAGATGTACATACTGTGAGTGCAGATCCAGTATTACATTTGTACTTAATGTACATACATGTATGCACATTGTACTAAAATAGGAGAGAATTCTGTTAATGCACATGACTTGTTAGTTACATTTAGGCCATTGTCATGCAAATCTGTAATTGTTCCAACCCAGCTGTTGTGTCCTTCTTTATTGCATTCCATATCAGTTCCTTGAACAATCCCCAGGTAACTGTCAAAATGTATTCCAATATGTACTTTATGTATGGACACGCTTCACGTAGTTTAATAATAATGAAATTCTTCAGTGGGCGTAAAATGCTAACAAGTAAACACACAGTATGCATTGTGCTTTTTGAAAGTGCGTAGTACATTTAAGGTGCATGTACACATGATGTGAACTTGGCTTTTAAAATACATGTACATGTAGCTAACATACATGTATTTATACCCGGGTCATTCTTTAAATTTGGGGTCTGTTTTTTTCCTTCCTCTTTTACAAGACATGTACATGTACCGGTACATATTTTGTATGATTTTATAAGTATTTAATTTAGTTTGCTTTTTTTGGACAGTTACAATTTGGTACTGACAGTTTTATGGGTGAGTTAGGATGTTCGTTTTTGGTCAGTTTTTTGGGGGGACCGACCAACCCACACCAAAGCGAGTTGTAGATCTGTGCCGGAGCTTTAAAAACTGCAGATGTGTACACCTTATCAAATGTCGGTGTACTGTTCATTCACATGACAGACTCAGTTTTCCTACCGGTACATGATATAACGTGTGTGTAATGTTCATCCCTGGAAAAATGTACCCAGTTGGTGGGGATCATGTGAAGAACCCGATATATAATTACCTCCTCAAATACCAGTTTGTGCTGAACTTGAGCCACAAGTCCACAGGGTGCAATTAAAGGGCCACTCTCTTGGCATGTCCCACGGGGCTCCCATTGCACAGTTATAGTTTAGATTATTTAGCAAGAACAACACTTGACCAGGGTAATCCTGCCTCCAGGCTTTGAAAGGGATATGGTGGACAGAAACCACAGGAAGTGTAATGTGCTTTCTCAGAGAGCTCTTAAACTTGGGGGGGGGGGGGGGGAAATTGAACCATGAACTCTTGAGTTTTAACCGACCCGAAACCAACCCGACCCTAAAAACCCCCGAATATCTGGCTTGGGCAACTGTGTCCATTTTTTGTGCCTGAACTTACCCACGTCCGTTGCGAGAAAATCATTTGGGCCTACAAGTTATAGACTGTGCATGATAGACCGCATATTTATCACATTCGCGGTGGGTTGACATTGGTCGTACCGGGCACAATAACTGTGCAATAATAATTGCACGGCGAGAATTTCCGAACTGTTTTGTCTTTTTTGGGTTTATTTCGGGTTTTTCACAAGATGTACTTTTAACCGACCTGACGCGAGCGGAAAATTCCAAACGCAAAACCGAAACTGACCCAAACCGACTGACATGATGCAAAAACTGACCCGAACTCTGTAGACGAACCGGTCCGAAGTCGGGTCGGGTCGGTTTCGGGTCGGGTTTGCACAACATTCACCCTAACCTTCCCAAATCTTCCAAAATCCTCTGTGCACAATGGAGGATTTTGCTGGATTGAGGCCACATGGCAAAAGTGTGTTGCTGATTTCGGAGGATGCATTGTGTCAAGGTCTTGGGCCGGACCTTGTGTTGTTTATGCTCAGCCGTGAATACATTTAGGACTACATGTACATGTATACTTTACTTGAAATCCTCCGCACTGCTCCAGGATGTCACTGGCTCTGCCTCAACATGTTACATGTATGTAAGTATATATAAACAGTGAATGCCGGAGGATTTTGCAGGATTGAGGCAGTGGTCACCGCTCCAACATGTCCAAGGACTACATTGAAAGAAATAACAGAGGATTTTTTTCTTCCAGACTGAGGCCATCCGTGTTAATTGTTGAGGGTTGGGGGGGGGGGGGGTGGAGGGGGGGGTGGAGGGGGGCGAGACATCATTGTAATTGATGTAATTGTACGTGCCAGAGAAAACCAACAAGACTAATTTCTCTTGTGTTGTTCTCCATTACTAGGGTCCGGCCCCAGTTAGCCAGGGAGCGCATCGACATGTGTCGCGTCTGCACCTCCGTGACCCCGGATCAGTCCCAGGTCATGCTGGGTCAAGACAGGGCATTCACCTTCGACCATGTCTTTGACATGGAGAGCATGCAACACCAGGTCTACAACTCGACAGTTCATCCCTTGATTGAAGGGTGAGTATGACAATATAAAAAAAATGGGGGGAAAGTTAGGCCTGCCGAACTTATTTATAGACTAAATCCGGTGACAGGCTTGCTATCGCAAGGGTTACTGGTGCGATAGTTTACTACAAAAGCTCTTTGCGAAGCAATCATGAACATGTCGCATGGGTGTAGTACGCACGTGCTATCAGCGCCTTGCTGGTAGCTTCACGCATGAAAAGATAACGGCACACGTACAAATGTTAAGCAGCGTTTTCCCGAGCTCAATGATGCCAATCTGGAGAATGCAGTGGACAATAAAGATGTCCCCTGTACTAAAAAAAGTTGTCCACAATGCGGTAGAAGCAGTTAGTGCATAGCAAAAGCACTGAACTTTGTCTGAGGTTGAGCAATATCCTTCTGGTGAGCTGGACAAGTTTCTCCGAAGAATTTATGCCGAGATTGTGAACTGGAACTGGAAAGTTCGGCAACGAAATAATTATGTATGAGGCACATAGTACAACAAATTTATAACAGCTAGGGTGTACTTCGGGTGGATAGTCGATATTAGCTCCCCTCAGCTTTGTCTCGGGAACTAGTTTGTCAACTTTCAATACCTCCTTTTGTTCTTCAGGTGTTTTGACGGCTATAATGCGACAGTCTTCGCCTACGGACAAACAGGCTCCGGTAAAACCTTCACGATGGGGACAGGGTTCGAACCCGGGATCAGTGAGGAACAGCAAGGGATCGTACCCAGAGCTGTTCACCATCTCTTCACCGGGATTGACCATCGTAGGACGGAGGCTCTGGAGAGAAGTGAACCACCGCCGGAATTTAAGATCCATGCTCAGTTTATGGAGGTTACAAAATAGACTTGTCTCAAGTCTGAATTATTTTTTGGTCCCCATATGCAGCCATTAGGCTTGGGCGAATCCAAGCTAGACTCCACTAGAAACAATTCCAAAGTCTGAATTGGAATCAGTTTCACTTTTTTGAAGAGTCCATGTAGCAGATTCTATTTTCCACAGCATCGATTTCGGTCTTTGGGCCAGGATTTCGAAGATTGGCCAACTCCAACAAAACAGACCCTTTGTGGCTTTTTAGTATGCAGTGCCTCAAAGGCAAAGGTGGAAATTTAAACAAGAAAATTGTCAAACATTTCATTTTGTTGTGTCCCCTTTCGCTCGTACCCCACGCCCTGTGGACGCTGGGAAGGGCTGATGAATTTACGCTCTGATTGGATAGATTTTGCGTGACCTGTGACCTGCAAGTCATCCCGACCACGACCCTGCAAGGTTTTAAAAAGCAGTTAAGACTGAGTCATTCATCACTCTTTTATTCCCATTCATAGATGCCCTTTTTTTTGTGTAGAAAAGCATAATACCGGTAATGTAAGAAAATCTGTAAAAAATTATCCGTTTTGTAAATTTGTAACTCCCGTCAGTTGCTCAGGCTCCGTTTCAAATTCACGAAGGGTCGAAATGCATATCATTCGAGGCTCCAAAATCTGTCCACATGGTCTGCAATGAAAAAGAAATCATATCCGGTATAGTGTGTATGCATTTCCATGAGAAAGTTTTCGAATAGCATTTGCGCACATTGGCTAACTGCGGTCTTTAACAGCTGCAGCCAGATGCTTTATACATAGGTCATGATAAATTCCCTAGTTCTCCACTTCCTTCACAAGATTCTGTGAAGCTCATCAGCCCTTCCCAGCGCCCTGTTTGCAGGGCAGGGGGTACGAGCAAAGTGCCCCCTGCCCTCAATGTGACTTTTGCTCAAACGAGGGCGCTGCAGGCTTTGCACATTTAGAGTAAACTCAGTCTTGCATATTCTGTGCATACATGAATTTTGGTTCGTGTTTTTGTCTTTTGCAGTTGTACAATGAGGAAATCTTGGACTTGTTTGACTCAACAAGAGATGTGGAAAGCAGCCGGGTACGTACATGTACATACATGTAAATACACCAACCATGAAAATGTAGTTTTGCATTTGTATGCGCCCCCAAAAACTGAAACAAATATTTACGAGGCGTTCTGGCAAAATGACAAAACTGGGCAGAGGTCTAAATGAGGGTTTGCAGGTATCAGCCATTTTGGAGTTACAAAAATGTACTACTGCACGTGCGCAGTACAGTTTATCCCCCGACCCTAATCGTTGTCATGGGATGTGCGCATGCACAGTAGTACATTTTTAGTACGAAATGGCTTATTAGGCAAGAGAATAAAATTTGCCTTATGACACTGTTTGCTGCACTTCAATCAGTCATTCCCTTGACGAGTTGTGGTTGTTAAAAGCTCGCATTTATCGACCTGTCGACATGTGAAAAAGTATTAAAATACATAGAAAAAAAAGTACTTTAAACTTGAAAAATGACAGATGCCATTTTTTTCCATAAAAATACTTCTCATAGTAAAGTATTGCAGGTGTTTGTTGTCAAGGGAAAGAGTTCCATACTGGGCCACCACTCATATTCTCTAAAATGTCCTGTAAAGTACCAAAAGTTGTCAATCTGATGAAGAAACACTATTTAAGGAGTGCACAAATTCTTAAAATACTTTAACTTTTTCTGTCATGGCCCATAGACTTAGTGCAGGAGGTCTGAGTGGTAGCCCAGTATGGAATTCTTTCAGAGCTCAACTTATGTGCTCTATGTCCGTGCGTCAAAATAACTCTACATATCATGGTTTTGAGTTGTTGTTATTTTCTTTTGATGTAGAACAAGAAATCACATATTAAAATCCATGAGGACGCACAAGGGGGAATCTACGTTGTGGGTGTGACCACAAGAACAGTCGGCTCTGAACACGAGGTGAGTATCCCATGTATGCATGGTCCGTAGAGGGCGGTATTGCCCTGTGCAGTGGGTAGGTAGCCCATGTTTGCACATCATTAAGTAAGTGAGTGAATCTGTCAAAAGCCAATATGGCCCATCAGTCCGACATTCATCCCCAGTTTCTGTGGCATGAAACAGCTGAGAATATTTCTGTTTCCCCTGGATGGGATGGGATGCCAGTCAATCGCAGCTTAAAGCAGGCCTCACGCGGACCTTGCAACGACACAGATCAGTCCGGGAATGACTTTTCAGGATCACGCTGTACCTGAGCTACCGTACGACCGTCGGGAACATTTCAGTCGCCAATTTTTTTGCGACCTGAGTATAACTGCGACGATATTAAGACGATCGGAATTAGTCGACATTAAAAAAAAATCAACAGTGGCAAGAGTAGAAAATTTCAACTTCTACGATGATGTCGCGATCGTGTGCGCATCAAGATCATCCTTTTCCAGTGTTTAGCCAATCATGCAGTACGCACCACCCGCTCGTCAATCACCATATTAGGAGATTGTTTACCTACTCGGGAGAGGATATTCCATACTAGAGAGGTGTTTAAAAAAATGAAATAAAAGTTTTCAACAAAATCATTGGCCGGCTTAATACTCCCAAGCTAATGCCGGTACCCATACTCCTGGGCGGAGAGAGGCAAGTGGGGATGAAGTGGCTTGCCCAAGGACACAACGTACAGTCAGCAGAAGGATTCGAACCCCTGACCCTCTGATCATGAGTCACAAATCCTAAGCACTAGGCCACACTTCCCTAGGTCAAAACTTTAAACAGGCTTAATGGGTGGCTAGTGCGTAAAGCGCTCACCTCTCACCACTGTGGCCTGGGTTCGATTCCCAGCTAGAACCATATGCGAGTAGAGTTGTGCGTTGGTTCTCTCCTGTGCCACAAGGGTTTTTCTCTGGGCCCTCCTGTATTCCTCCTCTGAAAAAAATCAAACACTTTCGATCTCTGGCTGAGCTTTTAAGTCAGGGTTGTATGGCTGTCTGCCAAATGCGCCTTTACATGCCTTCGGCTCAACCATGTTGTAGCTGCGTCCTCGCAATTCAGCTATCTCAGCTGCGAGTAAGGATGATTATCCCCCCCCCCCCCAAAGTATAATTATTATTATGGGAAATGGATCATTTGGGAGACATTCCCATGGACTTGTGTGCACAAAATTTCAATGCGCCCTAACCCCAATATTCCCTTAATTGTCCCTTTTTCCACGAATTCCGGTATGTTTACTAATTAGACCATGAGCAACAAATATAATCTAATTGCGACAGCAAAGTTTTGCCTCTAAAGAGGGGCTGTGACATTACGGAGACATGAAAATGACCGATGTCTCCCATCGTGCGAAGAAATTACGATAGCGTGTCTCCTTAATGGTACCATTACACGTATAATAATAATTACCCTGAATTGGACATTTGGGAGACATCCCCATAGACTTGTGCACAACATTTTCAAACTTAAATGTGCCCTAACCCAATATTCCCTTGTCTTTTTTCCACAAATTGCGGCATGTTTACTGATTACACAACAAGCAACAAAAACTAACCTAATTGCGACAGTAAAGTTTTGCCTCTAAAGGGGGCTGAGACATTAAGGAGACATGACAATGTCTCCCTAATGACCGATGTCTCCCATCGTACGAAGAAATTACGATAATGTGTCTCCTTAGTGGTACCTTTACACGTATAATAATTACCTTTGATTGGACATTTGGGAGACATCCTCATAGACTTGTACACAACATTTTCAAACTTAAATGTGCCCTAACCCAATATTCCCTTGTCTTTTTTTCCACAAATTTTGGTATGTTTACTGATAAGATCATGAGCAACAAATATAATCTAATTGCGACACTAAAATTTTGCCTCTAAAGGGGGGGCTGTGACATTACTAATGACCGATGTCTCCCATCGTGCGAAGAAATTATGATAACGTGTCTCCTTAATGGTACCATTACACGTATTATTATTATATTTCCAAGACATTAATTTAGACTTTTATTTTTCTGCAGACGTTGCAGTGTTTGCAAGGTGGTGCTCTATCTAGAACCACCGCTAGCACCAACATGAACGCACAGAGCTCCAGATCTCATGCCATCTTTACTTTACACATCAAACAACAGAGATTAGTCAAAGTGGTAAGCAGACTACTCCACTGGGTCCTTAAAGGGAATATACAACATTTGCAAACATCGAAGAATAAAACTACCAAGTTTTTACGAAATACCTTACTAGGATGTTGGTAAATGATAGTCTCAAGCATTTTGTAAAATTATGGCACCTGATGTGAAGTCATTTTCAAGAAAATGGTATTTTTGTATACATTTCCAACGGTGGTCGGCCGACCAGCGTTGGAAAAACCTAACTATTTTTCAACTACTGCTCCAAATTAACCATTTTTTCAGTCCAAATTTTGTTTGCTATTGGTTACATGTTTCATGAACGGGTGCAGGCCAGCTAGACTGGTTCCCGTGCCTTACAATTTTCCATCATCTATAAATTGATCCATTTGATCTTTTGTGGAGTCAGGGAACCAGACTACTTAAACATTTTAGTTTTTCTTGGTTTTTCCAACCTTTTCGAACAAAAAACTTCAAAAACGTCAGTGTAACAATATTTGATCTATATATACTAACCCCTCAAATAGTTCATTTCTGAAAATTACATCAAAAACCAATGATGTACATTCCCTTTAATTAATTAAACCTCTGGTTCTTTTCATTCTCTTAGTTGAGAAATTATTCCACATGGTGTTTCCGCAAACCTTTCATTCACCTTTAGTGTTAGTGTGGCAGATCCTAGAATACTGTTTTCTCAGAATATACGGCATTCACAGAGCTAAGGTTAGGTGTTTAGCACCTGTCTTTAGATTTTGAGCTTCAAATGAAAACAAAAATGCACAAATGATCTACCGCACACATACTGGAATTTGTATCCTTGTTAAGACCTCTCTTTGTTCTCATGTACTAACATTTTAGAGTGTGAAAATCTAGTTTCAAAATGCTCCTGTTTCAACCAGAATTAATTTTCCTGGGCTGAAATTTGGGCCCAATATCCCTCACATAAAATACTCCAATTTACGACTGATAAACACACCTTGGAAATTCCTAGTTTTTGAGTAAAATCCATTTATCTTTTTCTTAAACACCTTGTGGAGACCTCTTTACGTATAGAAATTGCCTCATGGAGACCTTTACAATGTTTTGTTTCCTATCGTAAACATGCCTCGATAAGGTAGTGAATTACGAAACACCTTTAACCCTAACCCCCTAGGCCCTTGTTGCTTACAACCATCCTCAATCCTCCAAAATCCTCCAAAATTTTGCAACTCCGCCTAAATTTTTCAAAATTGTCAGACAGTCCTGCCTCAAAATGCATTCATCCTCAATCCTCCAAAATCCTCCTCATCCCAAAATTTTGCACTTGTGTTTAAATGAAGGATAACCAACGCCAAATCCTTCAAAATCATCAGACAGTCCTGCCTCAATATGCATTCATCCTCAATCCTCTAAAATCCCTTTGTGCTTCAATTACCATTCATCCTCAATCCTCCAAAATCCTCATGTGCTTCAATCACCATTCATCCTCAATCCTCCAGAATCCTCATTTGATTCAATCACCATTCATCCTCAATCCTCTAGAATCCTCCAAAACCGCCAGGAGGATTTTGGAGGAGTGAGGTGGGTTAGGGTTAAAGATATTCCAAATTGTTTGATTTTTTTCCCTTCCAACCAGTCAAATGAGGACAACGAAGAAGAACAACCCAAGTCCGGCGACGATAACACCGGCATGAATGAGTTTGAGACGCTGACAGCCAAGTTTCACTTCGTGGACTTGGCTGGCTCGGAGAGGCTGAAGAGAACCGGTGCGACGGGGGACCGGGCAAAGGAAGGCATCTCGATCAACTGTGGACTGGTACATTTCTTTTACAATTTTATAGACGCCTTCACTTATGACAGGTCTGTGTTTCATTGATACACACGAGTAGACTCTTATACCAGTGTTTTAGTCAAGCACATTTCCACGAGTACGAGTACTTTGTCAAGCGTACGAGTACAGTGGAATGCCGCTATAACAAACATCGCGGTATCCACAGATAATGTTCGTAATAGTGATTGTTCGGTATAGCGATTTTAAGCTGCCGGTGCTCCAAGACTCACTTTTCAATAAACATGATAAATGGCGCCCTTCATAACTTCACCCTGCATGCCCTGGTAGTTAGTGAAAACGACTACGAACACGTGCCGACTATTGAATTATGTAATGACACAGTTTTGAGCTTGCTACCTACCGGTACATCGATGGGTGGCTTTCCCCTTCTATGCCTTGGGGCAATAATACCCACTTGTCGCTCTTCTGCTGACAGTTTTCAACAACAATGTTCGGTTGGTTTTGTACACAAAAATCGGGAGCCAAGGACGATGTTCGGTATAGCCGAATGTTCGGTTTAAGCGGTGTTCGTTATAGCGACGTTCCACTGTATGAGTACAAGGCATTTTTTTTCATGAATACGAGTACATTTACTCAAAAATGTACTCGAGTACATGAGTACAAGGACAAGTACCAGTACTCTCTGCGAGTAGGAGCAAATTTCAATAGGTATACGTCAGGCCTGCGCGACTAGAGGGACTAGTTTTCTAGTCACCATACTAAAAAGCAATGGTAGTTGCGATTATCTATTTCTAAATAATCGACTAGTCGTTAATGCCATGAATAGTTGTGACTGTTAAATTTAGTCGTGACTATAGAAATTCACTACTCGCCCACACCTGAAAATCTGTGATCCAAGTAATTAAAAAATGGCCCAATAAAAATGTTATAACCCTAACCCTAAGAATTTTGGATAGAGTCTAGGGCTTTAACTTGCTAAAAGGAAGGGAACAATGGACTTTACGATAAGAGCATCACAGTTATGTGTGCACGTGCATGTTTTTTTCTTCGAATATTCAAACCGGCAAAAAGCTATTTGAATATTCAGTTGATGATTGGATATTTGGTACGTTTCAGGCAGCCCTAAATACTGGTTATGAAAAGAAAACTGTTATAACCCAAATTTAAATTTTTGTTCATTTGTTTAGCTTGCGTTAGGTAATGTTATCAGTGCATTGGGCGACCCAGCAAAGAAATCCAGCCATGTTCCATACAGGGACTCCAAGCTGACCAGACTACTGCAAGACTCATTGGGCGGCAACAGGTACCAGACCAACGCAAGCTGATTTGTGTTTTTACACATTTATGAAATAATCTTTAGGGATACTCATATCAAATATATGTTATGTCAAAAAGAGACTCTTCTGGTCAGCTGTTAATTAAATACAATTGAAATATATTTCTTCTCATGCACAGTGATTGTTTATGTTAAGAATAATGTACGAGGAGCGTGCCTTTCGTGGGTGAGAATGGCCCAAAGGCAAAGCGCGAGGGCTATTCATGTAAAATATATGTTGTGTCAAAAGCAGACTCGTCTGGTAAGTTGTTGATTAAATATAATTAAAATGCATTTCTTCTTATGTACAATGGTTTATTTTGTGAAAACGGATTTTAAATTTTTTGTTCTTCAGTCAAACCCTCATGATAGCCTGCGTGAGTCCCTCGGATCGCGACTTCATGGAGACACTGAACACGTTACGCTACGCAAACCGCGCCAAGAACATCAAGAACGTTGTGGTGGCCAATCAGGACAAGACAAGCCGGCAGCTGGCCGCACTCAGGAACGAGATCAGGGAACTACAGGAAGAACTTGTGGAATACAAACAGGTCAGTTTTAATACTGGTGCCTAAAGCCCCAGTTACACATTCACGGTTTGGAGCTACAGATATCCACAGTTTAAATTTCGTGATAAACCGTGGGAGTACCGTATACATCATTTAGTAACTCCATGGTTATCCGTCATCTTCCTTGGGTATTCGTGGAGGGGCTACGGAAGTTTTAAACTTCCGTAGTGAATCGTCATGAAAATGTATATATGTAGTGCAATTGTGAGACATCCGTAGGACAACGGTACTACTTTGTAGTACGTGTTCGTGGCTATTCGTACATATTCTTGGAGATTCGTAGCTCTTTCATGGTAGAAATCTCGCTACGAATGTCCTACGGATATGCCCGGATATGCTAGGATTCTGCTAAGGTTGTACTACGGACATGTATGCTTTATTCGTAGGAGAACCTTGGTCATATGTGGCCCAATCGCAGACAACCGTGGCGTTAACATTATTAATACCGTCAATTTTCTTTGACGATCTGTCCATATTCTTGACAAAACGTGGTGTATTCATAGAGAAACCGTTGGACATCCGTCCTGAAACCGTAGTGCATTCTTAGAAAGTCAATTTCTCCACAAATCTTGACGGTTCATCATGATCGATTGATTCTTGGTAAACCATGGATATTCGTGGCTCCAACCGTGAAAGTGTGACTGGGGCTTTATGATGTTTACTCATTTCACCCTCCAAAACGCTTAAAGGGCCCATACAATGTAATAGTTGAATGCAATTTAAAAAAATGCTCCGTAGTGTCCCATTTAATTTTATTTTAAATTTTTATTTTGGTTTTTTTTCTCAAGGGTTTTATGATGCCTGTTTGGTTTTAAGCTAATGGCAATTTCTATATTCATGAGCAAAACTTAATGTAATTTTTAGTCAGAAACCGCAATGCTACAACCATTTTCTAAGCGCCAAAAGTTTTCAGAATTGTTGATATTTTTCTTGTCGTAAAATTTCTTTTCTTTGGGGATTTGTTTTTTCACAAATGTTTTTCGATGAGCACATTTTTGGGTTTACTATTTGAACCAAAAAAAATCTGTTATCAGAACAGTGTGTGCCTAACATTACATCACTGCAATGGCGCCCTCAGGTGTCAGAAAAAGCATGGAGAATTTTAAATGTTTAACACTAACTCCCTAGCAAATGCTAGGAGCTATACCCATCCTGGCAAATTCAAACACCGTATAGAAACTGCACACACATATTTCTGACTTTGATTCTGGAGGTGTGCCAACCCAATGTAAAAGACTGTCAGTTCAGGGATACTGTACCCATCCTGACAGATTCCTACAAAACATGCCATTGGGGTTTGATGGGTTGATTTCTGTTAGGGTTAAACATTTACAGTTTTCCCATATACTTTTCTGGACAACTGAGGACGCTGTTGCTGTGATGTCATTTCAGAAAGACACTGTTCAGCTTAGGGGTTTTCTGTTCAAATTGTGAACCACAAAATGTGCTCACTGAAAACATTTGTGAAAACAAGTTTGCTCATTGGCTTACTGTCATGTACTGACCCAACAACAAATCATAGTTCAGTCGGAAAAGGGGGGTATCGTGCACCCTCGGAAATCAATTTCTAATCAACGTTTCTAGGTCAGAAAAAATGCGTAGAAAACGATTTGCTACATTGTATGTTAAAAAATTCAAAAAATGTCCCACGTATTGTTTTTATGCAAATTAGTGCCGCCATTACCGAAAAATCTATTTGTAACTATATCTCAGCCAATATTGCATATAACGGAACGAACTAGGTGTCTAAACCAATGTTTTCAAGGTCAGAGATCACAATAAAACTATTCTGGAAGTGACCACATGTGTCTGTGGCATAGGAATATGCAAATTAGTGCCGCAAATACCGGAAAGTCATGTTTTTGGCATATCTCGGCCAATATAGCACATAACTACACAAGTAAGGTGTCTAAACCCATGTTTTGAAGGTCAAGTATCATTAGAAGACCATTCACGAAGTAACTATGTGTGTCTTTGGCATGAAAATATGTAAATTATAAAGTGTCGGTTTATCATATATTTGATTTTTAGCCAATATCTCGGCCAATATTGCACATAACTACACAAGTCAGGTTTCTAAACCCATGTTTTGAGAGTCAGGTATCATTAGAAGACCATTCACGAAGTAACTATGTGTGTCCTTGGCAGGTAAATATGTAAATTCTAAAGTGTCGATTTATCAGAAATTTGATTTTTAGCCAATATCTCGGCCAATATTGCAGCTAATGTTGACAGAAGGGTTTTTGATAAGCAATAATGATCAAAGTTTATTTTAAACCATCATATTCAAAATAAACTGTAATATTGGCTGAAATTGAATATAATTTGGCTGAAAATCATTTTTTTGATAAACCGGCAATTTAGAATTTACATATTTTCATGCCAAAAACACACATAGTTACTTCGTGAATGGTCTTCTAATGATACCTAACCCTCAAAACATGGGTTTAGACACCTTACTTGTGTAGTTAAGTGCAATATTGGCCGAGATATTGGCTAAAAATCAAATATCTGATAAACCGACACTTTATAATTTACATATTTTCATGCCAAAGACACACATAGTTACTTTTTGAATGGTCTTCTAATGATACTTGACCCTCAAAACATGGGTTTAGACACCTTACTGGTGTAGTTATGTGCTATATTGGCCGAGATATGCCAAAAACATGACTTTCCGGTATTAGCGGCACTAATTTGCATATTCCTATGCCACAGACACATGTGGTCACTTCCAGAATAGTTTTATTGTGATCTCTGACCTTGAAAACATGGGTTTAGACACCTAGTTCGTTCAGTTATCTGCAATATTGGCTGAGATATAATTAAAAATAGATTTTTCGGTAATGGCGGCACTAATTTGCATAAAAACAATACGTGGGACATTTTTTGAATTTTTTAACATAGCAAATCGTTTTCTACGCATTTTTTCTGACCTAGAAACGTTGATTAGAAATTGATTTCCGAGGGTGCACGATACCCCCCTTTTCCGACTAAACTATCACTAAAGAAAAGAAAATTCACGACAGCAAAATATCCAAAATTCTGGACATTTTCGGTGCTGAAATAGCTGTAACATTGAAGTTTCTGCTCGAAAATGACATGACACTTTTGCTCATGATTATGGAAATTCAAATTAGCATAAAAACCAAAAAGGCACCAAAATGGAAAAACGAAAATTTATTGAAAATAAGGTTACATTGGACACAAAGGTGCATTTTGAAGAATTGCATTAATAAAAGAATCACATTGCATGGGCCCTTTAGAGGGCCATTACAATGTACATTGTACTTTTTTAGTGCAGCTGAGACTGTCTTTAAAATGTTTCATTGGCCCAGCGATCAGGGGTAATAATGATGTAAAGTGCTTTGATCTTAGTTAAAAGCCCTATACATGTACATATAAGTACCCATTATTATTATTTGGTGCAGGGTAAACGGCAAATCAACTCAGAAGGCGTCGAAGAAATCAACGACCTCTTTCATGAAAACACGATGCTCCAGACAGAAATTGAAAACCTACGCCAGCGAGTCAAAGCCATGCAGGAGACCATTGATTCGCAAACGTCGAGGATCTCGGTGCTAGTCGCTGAGCAGGCTCGGGCGAGGCTCAGCAGCATGGTGGGGACCGGGGAAGGGGGTGGGGGAGGCGAGGAGATGATGTCAATGGTGGAGGGATACGTCAAGGAGATTGAGGATTTGAGGTAAGCAGCCTATTGGTCATTTCTATTGGTGGAGGGTCTGTCACATGGGTCATTTTATCCATTCCTATTGGTCGAGAGCCCATCACATGGGTAGTTTCACACCAACACTCATAAATACCTATTCATAAATACCTAAGACAATTTACCCATTCCTATTGGCCGAGATCCTTTCCCGTGGCCGGTTTTAATTGGTTGATAAAGACCGGCTGGCTGGTCTTAAACACTTTTGCAGCAATTTAAAGACGTCAGGGAATTGTAAGGTCAGGGAACCAGTCTAGCTGGTTTGTAGCCGTTCATAGGTACTGTTAGGTGCGCGTCAATTGCAAACAAAATGCGGACTAACTAAATATGGGAAATTGTGGGCAGTATTTGAAAGAAGGCAGCTTTTGATACAAAATTGATACGAAAATACCACTTTTCTTGAAAATGACAGCACACCAGGTGCCATGATTTTACAGGATGCTTTAGACTGTCATTCACTAACAGTCCAGTACGGTATTTTATAATAATTTGGTAGTTTTGTTTTTGCTTGATGTTTGCAAATGTTGTATATATTCCCTTTAAAACACTGCTGAGAACTGTTCACTACTGGGCCAGTTATAAATGTGGCCTGTGAACTGGGACAACACATTTTTTCCGTCTTTGTATTTTATTTTTAAGGAAGCAAAATGATTTTTGATGCTTTTGTGTTCTTGGGCACGACACTTTACTACAACTGTGTCTCTTCACCCAGGAGAATAAATGGGTACAGGCTGTGAGGGCAGAGACCAGATTACGCTTATTTTGGGCTGCTGCAAAAACTGGTCTCATGGTCTGATGAACAGGGGTAAAACGTGTACATGTAGTAATGAAGATGTATTGAGAATGTGATTTTGAGTTTATCTTTCCGTTTTCTGGTTTTATTTCTCAGAGCTAAACTAGTGGAGAGTGAGTCGCTGAATGCCGTCCTACGTCGGAAGAACGTCCACGAGTCCCCAGTCCGAATGCCGTTAAGATCACCAATGAGCCCAAGTCACATACCGCTGACTTCTAGCAGTGCGGACTTCAGGTATGAAGTCTAGTAAAACATCATTTCAATATATGGAACATAAAGCAGTGCAACTGTTCATTAACCAATATGTATCAATGTAAAGGCAGGGCGGTTTGGGGCAGTACAGGGAGTCGATGCAGGGAAGTTTTGAGACAGTACTGGGAGTCACAGGCACTTGGGGTGGTGCAGGGAGTACCAGGCAGGACGGTTTGGGACGATAAAGTGAGTAACAGGCAGGGTGGTTTGGAGTCGTACAGGGAGTAACAGGCAGGGCAGTTTGGGGCGGTTTGAGGAGTAACAGGCAAGGCGGTTTGGGGCCGTTCAGGGAGTAACAGATAGGGTGATTTGGACTTCTTGGTTAACTGTTGAATTTGTCAAATTTGCAAACATCTTGCATCGCTCTCATTGATAACATGTCACACAAAAAAAGTATTTCATTTTACACAAGTCTACAAGTATTCATGCCAAAAATTAGCTGTACCCTCTCAGTAGAAAACTAAAATTGTGTGGTAATAGTGTCTTTTAATCAGATAGATTTGATAAAAAAATCAAGATGGAGAAAACAAATTAACAGCAATCCCCATTCTATGGGATGTTTATGTTATTTCCCACTTAATAACGATGCATTGACCTTTGACACTACATGCAAAGTTCATTGACCAATCAAATCTTGCAACCATTTTCTTGGCCATGCAGTAGCAGACAGCGACATTACTCAGGTGAACGGTAAGTGAACAGGCCAACCATGTCATAGCATGCAAAAGTAGATGATTCTACAAACATCAATGCTTGAATAAATGTCCTTGTTCTGATCATAATCTTATGTTCACTGTGGTTTTTTTTTTTCAAGTTTCACCCCGAAATATTTATCAGCCCGGTTTTTGTTTCGCCTAAACAAGCTTTTGGGGAAACAATTCATTCTGTATAGTCTGTATCTCTGTGTCTCCTTATGATTCTATGTTGAAGTTTAGGTTAAGTTTTCGAAAGACATGTACAACTTCCACATGCTTGCATGGATTTTTGCTGAAACTTGGACGCAGTGACCTTTGGGTTGGAAGACACAATTCTTCATCGATTATAAAATGAGGTTAAAGGTCATGGAGGGGTCATTAGAGGTCATTGTTCAGATATGCTTCAAATGTTTTATTTGTCTACAGAATTCGATGAAGTTTAATGTCACTTGGATGGAGTGATCCTTGGGTGGGGGTTCATCACAACTCTTCTGAAATTGGAGGTCAAAGGTCATGCAGGGGTCATTTGAGTCGTTTAAATGCAGACAAATTGACTTATTTTAAGCACACAAAACATAGAGGGGATCGACCACGGAAAAAGGCGACACATGCGGTCTGTGGACCACTTGTTTCCAGAACCTCACAAACTCACATGTGATTTGTCAGATGCTGCTACTGTAAATATTTATCTTATTCCCCATGCATGTTTTTGTACAATAAAATTGATCGTGTTCCCTGTGTACAATCCATGTATGCAGCAGTCTCACCATTTAGTGCATGCTTAGTCCACCCCAGTGAAACTTTCATGTTCGCCATTACTTTCTCCCATTGCATGCATCAGATCATATTCAATTATATAACCAACATACAGATAGAACTCACATCACATGACATTCGTTATTACTCCCATTCTCGCCGGGGCTCAAAAAGTCCCATTCGCTCGTGAGAATGGGAAATACTATTGAACAGTTACACATGTAACTTCATTCCTTACACATGTAAGGATCATTCTTGTTCCACGACGCGGTATTTGTGTGCAAATACATGCTCTCCAGTGGTGTGCGCGTTCAGCGTAGCGCGTATTGTTCCAAAGGGCCAACGCTCCAGAGAGAAATTCATTTTCCACCAATTTTGTATTGAAATCTAAGTTCAAAAAAATGACAAGGATCTATGTCAGTTATATAAAACAAATATTGAGTGGCTTTAAATTGTGAAATGGGAGGAATATTATCACCCAGTAAAAACTGGACTTTTCCATTTCACGAGGCGAGAGTCTAGATTTTACCTTGTGACAATATTCCTCCCATTCCACGCTGAGCCACTCAATATTTGTACACCATTTTTTTTCTTATGCATGTTTGTCGATGTATGCATGTATATTGTACACACTTCACGTATTGATTTTCCACATGGGAATCCTTCATCTTCATATATGTTTTCCCGTGGATGTTTTCTATTGTAGTGATGTGCATTTACGGGTAGTATGGGAACCGTATTGAAGTAACAGACGGGGTACCCATAAAAGAAAGCCTACCCCAAAATTGAAATTAGTATGGGAACCAGGTACCCTATTGAAGTAACAGACGGGGTTCCCATAAACGAAAGCCTACCCCAAAATTGAAATTAGTATGGGAACCAGGTACCCTATTGAAGTAACAGACGGGGTTCCCATAAACGAAAGCCTACCCCAAAATTGAAATTAGTATGGGAACCAGGTACCCTATTGAAGTAACAGACGGGGTTCCCATAAACGAAAGCCTACCCCAAAATTGAAATTAGTATGGGAACCAGGTACCCTATTGAAGTAACAGACGGGGTGCCTATAAAAGAAAGCCCACCCCAAAATTGAAATTAGTATGGGAACCGGGTACCGTATTGAAGTAACAGACGGGGTACCCATAAACGAAAGCCTACCCCAGAATTGAAATGAGTATGGGAACCGGGTACCCATTGAAGTAACAGACGGGGTACCATAAACGAAAGCCTACCCCAGAATTGAAATTAGTATGGGAACCGGGTACCCTATTGAAGTAACAGACGGGGTACCCATAAACGAAAGCCTACCCCAGAATTGAAATTAGTATGGGAACCAGGTACCCAATTGAAGTAACAGACGGGGTACCCATAAAAGAAAGCCTACCCCAGAATTGAAATTAGTATGGGAACCAGGTACCCTATTGAAGTAACAGACGGGGTACCCATAAAAGAAAGCCTACCCCAAAATTGAAATTAGTATGGGAACCGGGTACCCTATTGAAGTAACAGACGGGGTACCCATAAAAGAAACCCTACCCCAAAATTGAAATTAGTATGGGAACCAGGTACCCTATTGAAGTAACAGACGGGGTACCCATAAAAGAAAGCCTACCCCAAAATTGAAATTAGTATGGGAACCGGGTACCCTATTGAAGTAACAGACGGGGTACCCATAAAAGAAACCCTACCCCAAAATTGAAATTAGTATGGGAACCAGGTACCCAATTGAAGTAACAGACGGGGTACCCATAAAAGAAAGCCTACCCCAAAATTGAAATTAGTATGGGAACCGGGTACCCTATTGAAGTAACAGACGGGGTACCCATAAAAGAAAGCCTACCCCAACATTGAAATTAGTATGGGAACCGGGTACCCAATTGAAGTAACAGACGGGGTACCATAAAAGAAAGCCTACCCCAGAATTGAAATTAGTATGGGAACCGGGTACCCTATTGAAGTAACAGACGGGGTACCCATAAAAGAAAGCCTACCCCAGAATTGAAATTAGTATGGGAACCGGGTACCCATTGAAGTAACAGACGGGGTACCCATAAACGAAAGCCTACCCCAAAATTGAAATTAGTATGGGAACCGGGTACCCAATTGAAGTAACAGACGGGGTACCATAAAAGAAAGCCTACCCAAAAATTGAAATTCCGTAAATTGTCTTAAGGGCTATGCCGTTGACTTTACTATGTAAAGTGCAACTTTCGCGAGTTTCATCTGTCGCACGTTAAATGCACATTAAACTGGAAAACTGTTTTGGTTTTCCATGTAGGTTTTCATTTTGTTATTTCCCACAATCGGTATTCAGAACCTTTCTTTTTGCACTTCTTAGAAGTTAAGTATTTTGTAAAGTTAACCCGATCCCATAATCTGGAACCGGTTCCTGACATCAGCAGTCGGGTTCTTACATTGTAGGTACCTGGTTCCCATGCACACTCCTGTTTAGGTTTCATAAAAATCACAGCCAGTCAACCCTGCTTTATGAAGGCAGGGAGCACTCAACTGTTAAAAACAGTCACCTGATCGATTTTGACTGCTGGCCTGGGTTGGCCGCGTTGAAATTGCCAGACATGTGTATACTTGCAACAAAGGCTAGTCACCAGCAGTCAGATCATGTGTCGAGCAAGCACTGTGACTTGTCAAACTGGGTCAACAGACATAGCAGGCAAGTTTTACATGTGGTCGCAGCTGTTTTATCACCCAAAGTCAAAGCATAGCTGTTTCAAGCTTAAACAGTCACAGCCCGTGAATCCTGCTTTATGAACATTTTGTAGGCTGGGAATTCCTAACCCTAACCCCCTAGTACATTTGTAGTTCCTCGGGACTACCCTGCTCAATCCAACAGAGTCCAACCAGAGTTTCCTGCTCAATCCACTATGCCTCATTTTCAGTTGTCTGTTGAATCCAACAGAGTCCAACATGGCATTGTAATGCGGTTCAGTTGCCTGCTGAATCCAACATTTTGCATGAGGAATGTACACAAGGGGTTAACTGCTCAATCCAACAGGCTCCATCGGGTATGTGACATAGAAGGATCCTGTTGGATTCAGCAGGGTTAGGGTTAATCGTCCTGCTATTTAAACAGTCACAGACAGTCAAAATTCACTTCCACTTCCCCTGCTACATGTATACTTTCAACAAATGTTAGTGACCAGCAGTCAGATCATGTGTCAGGCAAGCACTGTGACTTGTCAAACTGGGTCAACAGACATAGCAGGCAAGTTTTACATGTGGTCATCACAGCTGTTTTATCACCCAAAGTCAAAGCATAGCTGTATCAAGCTTAAACAGTCCCAGCCCGTGAATCCTGCTTTATGTACATTTTGTAGGCTGGGAATTCCTAACCCTAACCGCCTAGTACATTTGTAGTTCCTCGGGACTACCCTGCTCAATCCAACAGAGTCCACCCGGAGTTTCCTGCTCAATCAACCCTGCTTTACCGGTATTTTCAGTTGTCTGTTGAATCCAACGGAGTCCAAGATGGTGTTATAATGCGGTTCAGTTGCCTGCTGAATCCAACATTTTGCATCAGGAATGTACATGTCCATAAGGGGTTTACTGTTCAATCCAACAGGTTCCATCATGACCTACCCCGTAGTTGGATCCTGTTGGATTCAGCAGGGTTAGGGTTTTAACTGTTGAGAACTTGCAGTCACTTGTAAGTTTTTAACTGAAAGGACTTTTTGGCACAGTATGTATGTTTGCATCTATAGGAGCGTTAAGTCAACGTGGGACTGGATGACTTGTGATTGACTTGTGATTGACTGCCATGCATCACAAGTACTAAAACTACAACACTCCTGTTCTGTTCTTTTCAGCATCGAGGCAGAAATTCCAGAGAACAGTCGAGTGGCGTCCATCCTGGCTGAAGCCAGGAAGCAGGTTGTGCATGACCAGGAGAAGTTACGCCTGGTGGAAGCCTCCAAGGAGGCCTCCAAGGAAACGCGGAGCAAATCTAGATTACACAGGTACATTGTATGTCTAAAGACCGGCAGTTTCATGGTGCTACTCAAATAACACAAATTTAGCAACAGTCTCAAAGTGCTTCACATTTATTACCCCTGTTCATCAGGCCATGAGATGAGTTTCTCTGCAGCAACCCAAGATCTTTGCCATATGGTATCTCCTCCACAGGTGCTAGACTTGATGGCAAGTCGTTAGATAGTCATATTTTGTCTGTGAACTTCAGTCGAACTCCATTGGCGCGGGTGGTATAAGACCAGCACGTAATCAGCCGGGTTGCGACAAATCTAACAACTTGACAATTACGTTCTCTCAATGTTAATCATATATGCAAGCAGCGCAATACATATGCAGTGCATTTTTGCGTTGAGATCTAATCACGGACCGCTATGTAAATGAGGACTCATTCATTCTGTTATATGGGCAGTTCTTCTCAATACATCAGGGGCATGTTTGCAGTTGCAGATCAGACGACGTTTTAACGACCAAAACACTCACCTAGGTCAATTGTGTATAGAAATAAAATGTGTCATTGTGATAACTTGATTTATTTGAGTCATGTATGCCCTATAATGAATTTTGTAATGTTACACAACACAAAGTACAAGCCCTCGAAGTAATGAGAATGATCTTCCATGGCGGCCTAGGGAATTTGAACCAATCAGAGTGCTCGCATAGAGTTCGCTAGCGATTCAAAATGCTCCCATATGTTGTGTACATAATTAAAAAAAAATTTTCACCAAGTTGGTATAAATTGATCAGAAATAGTCGGCATCGTTTGGTCGTGGAACCAGACTGCGCGCATTGCAACGATATTTTGCATGCGTGGAGCCAGTAACTGTACATGAAACAATCACCGCCTTGGCACCAAGTCTAACTCCTTGGTGGAGAGGGCAATTGTTATAAAGTGTCTTGCCCAAGAACACAAGCACTATGTTCCCCGTGTAAGTTGGAACCCACGTACCATCGCACATGGGTTGGACAGCCATAATGTTCCTTTTCTTTGGTGATTCGTTGTGTCAGTACATTGCAGTAAGCCAATGAGCAAACCTTTCTCACAAATGTTTTCAATGAGCAAAATTTGGGCTCACAATTTGAACAGAAAAACCAGACCAGAACAGTGTCTTCCTGAAATGACATCACAGCAGCAGCGCCCTCAGTTGTCCGGAAAAGCTTGAAAAATATGAAATGTTTGAAATAAAGAGTACTTTTCACTAAAATTATTAATAAGGGATGTCAAAAATTTAAGACGGTTAAGGGGAGTAGAAAGTTGCACAAAATTGGTTCCTATATAAATTCATCGCACAGACCCTTTATGCTTGTATTTTTAATTCTTGTCACTACAGCCACTCTGACAGAGAAAACGAATCAGCAGATGAGAAAGAGGATGCAGCAGAGAAAGAAGACGGAACGACTGAGAAGCTGGAGAGAGATGAAGATGTTGACGAGGACGGTGGAGAGGAAGACGGTGATGAGGATGATGATGAGTTAGATGAAGATGACAAGGAAAGTAGCGATAGTGATTCAGAAGATGAAGATGAAACAGGTAAGAATTTGTCTGAAGTTCCAGGAAAACCTCCTTTGCAAATTCACACATGGCACAACTATTGTCAGCTTGACAGCAGTATTAAACTAGGGGATTGGAGGGCTATTTATTAAAATGTACATGTACATAGGATTGACAAACCTTTCTCGCACTGTATCGGCAAACACTTAGGAATTGTTCACAAATTGCATACAACCTCAAGGCTCCAAAATCATCCGTTATTTCTTGAATGTGGTCCTTGGAGGGGTGACCACTGCCTCAATCCTGCAAAATCATCCAGCAATCACTGTCAATATGTTGAGGCAGAGCCAGTGACATCCTGGAGCAGTGCGGAGGATTTCAAGTATACATAGCTGCCAACTGTTACAAATTTTTCGTAATTATTACGAATTGTTTGTTAAATTACGAAAATACGATTTGCCACTAAAACATTATGAATTTCCCATTTTCTACCTAACGAAAAAAAACAAACTTGTAAAGTATCGTTTTTGACCGAAAACTTATGGCGAAATGTCGCGATAATGGATGGACTGGTGACAAGTCTAATAAGAATGCAGTCAAGCACCTGATAGACATCAATGCAGTGTGCGCAGTGGAGTACTTGAGGACCAGACTCAAACTATTTTTCAATGATGTGTCATTTGTGTGAATCTCGTGGATGTGTGGTTGTGTGTACTGTATGTGAGTACTTTTCAGTGACGATCGTGACCACATTCGGTCACTTATTGCCGGGATGAGACCCATCAGTGCGAGATTTTAATCATGGAATTTAATAAGAGTATGGTTGGAATAATTGGTAATAGAGTTTGAGTTTGTCACAACGTCCAGAAAAGATAAATCAGCATGCGTTTGCAAGGTATGTTGCCGGGATATTTCTATTGCAATACGGTGGCCCTAAATCAATGTGTGTAAAAACATTGATACAAACTCGAAACTCCACATCGATAGCATGCATCTCAAAAAAATATGCGCACATGTTATTATTGTTATTATTTATTTGACTTCAACAAACAAATACAGACATTAAAACAAACTCAATTTAAATTTTTTTTTTCTAATATTATCTTTTGGCCTACAGTACATTATTATTCACAACAAGAAGGGTATGCACATATATGTGTACATGTAAACCATGTGCCTGTACTCGATGTTGGTAAACCTTTTGATAAAACGAGCAGTTGAAAATGACCGCGCGGGTTGATTACTAATTGGGATTTTGAAAAGTTGGCAGCTATGAGTATAATCTAGGTCTAAATTTATGCACGGCTGAGCATAAACATCACAAGGTCCGGCCCAAGACCGCAAGTGACACAAAGGACCTCAAGTGACTCCAAAAAAACCCACACATATTTGCCATACAGCGTCGATCCTTCAAAATCCTCCACTTATCATGCTACGAAGGGTTTAGTGGATTTGGGAAAGTTGGGGCTAACGTACCTTCTTTTGCCATCTTCTCTGCAGCACAATCCCAGCTTCAAGGGGATCTCGCGGACCTCGCCTGCGAGATCAACATCAAACAACGTCTGATTGAAGAACTGGAGACAAGCCAGCGCCGACTGCACACCCTGAAGGCGCAGTACGAGGAGAAAATGATGACGCTACAAGACAAGATACGAGGGACGGAAATGGAGAGAGACAAGATACTGGCAAATATGGGTAAGCCTTTATCCCTTTCCTTACCACATTATTTGTTGACTTGGCTCTCCCCAGGACCAAATTGTTTGCTCAGTCATGCGGAAATCACTAGAGCGTGCAAAATTGACCAAGAGTCGAAAAGTCTCTTTTTCAACCCAGGTTGTCACTGCCAAGGAGTGATTAAAATCAAAGGTGTTGTGTGTGAAGCTTGTTCCTTAAAACTGTACTCTTTTATGTGATGTAAAAATCAAGTCCATATGTGCAAAAATAAGAATGTTATGTCTGTTTGTTGACCTGGTCCCATTTATCAAACTGCAAGCCATTTCACAACATCGCCAAATGGCACTCCATACCTCAGAATTCTGAGTGGATACTTCTGAAGTAAATTTCTTTAATTTTTGCCATGGTAACACCACGAGTAAACTACACTATTAGAACCATCCGAAAACACTCTTTCAGCTGGTATATGGTTCTTGTATGGGCAGCGAAACGCACCAACATGCTGCCTTTCTGAAAAGTAGTGAATAAATCTGTGAGGTAGCTCAGTGCGTGGTTTCCTTGTCGACAAAATTCGTCCATGGTACTGAAAGGGTTAATGCAATGACCTCTGATAATTTGGAGAATAAACCTTGCGCATTTCAGGCTCTCTGACTGAAACAAGAACACAAGAGAAAGCCGAGAAGATCCGCAAGGAGTTTGAGATCAAACTCAAGAAGCTGACGAGCGAGAAGGAACGAATGCAGAAGGCCTCCAAGGAGCACTCCAAACTACTGAAGAACAAGTCGCAGTTCGAGCGTCAGATGAAGACGCTGACCTCTGACCTTAGTAAAATGAAGGAGACAAAGGTAGGTGTGCTTACTTTACCATTAGCACCAGGGCCCAATTTCATAGAGCTGCTTAAGCAGAAAATTTGCTTAAGCACGAAAAAACATTGCTTAGTAAAATTAGGTTACCGGCCAAAACTCCATGTGATGTACATTGCTTGTGACTGGTATTTAGCTGTTGTTTACTTAGCATAACAATCGCATGGAGTTTTGGCCGGTAACCTGATTTTATTAAGCAAGACGTTTTTGTGCTTAAGCAAATTTTGTACTTAAGCAGCTCTATGAAATTGGCCCCTGTTCTACTTTATATTAAATCATGAAAATTGTATTTGTTCCCTGAGGAATTCATAAAACTACAGAAAGCTATTAGCTTAGGGGAGGGGGGCTGTGAGGGGTACAGTGAGCAACATGCAGGGTGGTTTGGCTTAACACTTTTTTTGACTGGCAATCCGGAACCAAATTATTTTCAGGATGTGAAAAATACTAAAAGTTTGGTTAGCCTGTCTGGACTTAGCATGTAGCAAGTGTCAACTAAAAACAAATTGATTTGGTATAGCCCATATAATGTCAATAAGCCTGGTAGGACCAGGGGTTATTTACATGTAGAGTGAACAGGGAGTCATTTGGCACCGTGTCGGCTTCTCATGAACCAAACAATTGCAGGTTAACCCTAACTCCCAAGCATGATGTACTAGGTATGTACATATGGGAAACTGCACACACATATTTCTGACTTTGATTCTGGAGGTGTGCCAACCCAATGCAAAAGAATGTCAGTTTAGGGGTACTGTACCCATCTTGACAGATTCCAACAAAACATGCCGTTGGGGTTTGATGGGTTGAGTTCTGTTGGGGTTAAGGATGTTGTCATTGGATTGTTGCCAACTATATTCAAACTCTATGCCAGTTCAATATTTCAATGCGCATGTGCAAACTGATATGGGTACTAAGGGATTATTGAACACTCATCAAAGGCGCATGGAGACGGTCGCCTGACGGTCGCGCGTTAATTAATTACGAGCAGAATGGGCGTTCATGTAACATAGCGGAACATCGCGTCAGCGATTTTATGCAGAATCACCTTTGACTTGAATTACACTGTTCTTCATCGAGATAATGTGCTGTACTTCATCGAGTGGCCTACATAAAACAGTGCTTAATGTTGGTGAACAAAAGAGAGGTCAATGGACTCCGTGCATGAACAGCAGATGACGCTAAACGCTGTAGTTGGTTTGTGTGGGTAGGTACTCTTGACCTTTGCATTCTAAACATACACAAACCCGTTGCATCATCGTGTGAGCATCAGGCGCCACGGGAATTGCGGTCAAGAGTCCTCCAAGTTAATCCTCCTAACTTTATCTTTGCAACCGTTGGGGTACTCGGGCATGGAGTCTGTAGATTATGTGACTCCAATTGTGGGAAAAACCTTGACAGTCCACGGACTTGACCTTTGATCCTCTCCATGTCATAGGTCAAACTGATGAAACAGATCCGTGAGGAGCAGCAGAGATCCAGACAAAAAGACGTCGCCAGTAGCCGAGCCATCCAGAAATTGAAGAAAGAATCGCTCAAGCATGAAACCAGAATCAAGTCCCTGGAAGCTGAGGCTAAGCAAAAGGAAATAGTCCTCAAGAGAAGACAGGAAGAGGTACTGTTTCACTTTTACATACTCATGAATATTCATGATCTAAAACAGATTGAATTGGTCAGTGCTCAAGACAATAGGAGAGCAAACTGTATAAAATGGTCAGAAGCCAGGAAATGGGAATTCTTATATACATATTCATGACCTAGTTTGGATATTGAATTGGTCAGTGTAGAAACTAATTGAGCTGAAGGCAGGAAGACTTATTGTTACTCTTCGTAAATATTCATGAATTACATCGGGCACTTTCATTGGTCAGTCCAGAAGATTAAAGATCTGGAAAGGGAAGAGGTATTTGTACACTTCATGCATATTCATGAGCTAATGTGGACATTTTATTGGTTAGCTCTAAAGACAACAGGATGCTTGGTAGGAGGAGATAGGTATTGGAATATTCATGCATATTCATTAGCTACCGATAGGTTTGAGACAGTATTAATGAATACTTACAAGCTAGTGGGGAGATTTTCATGTGCTAAAGACAATACATGTAGGAGGCAAAAAAAGAGAGAAATAAACCTCAGGATATGACATGTAGAAGCATTGTTGCATTCATGCATATTCAAGAGTTACATGTAACATGGAGATTTCATTTTTACACTCATGCATATTCAAAACTATTATACATGGAGATTACATTGAACTTCAGTGGATAGCTGAGTTTTATCTTAATACATGCAGATATTATTTACATGGAAATATTGACTGTTCCTATTGATTTCAATTCCACAGGATTCATAAAAACTCAAGTTACTCAATTGTAGCCGTGGTGACTTGGTAGGTTATGTCTGAAAATGATTTCGTCCTATGACTCGTTTTTCTAGGTTAATCATCTTCGCAAGCAGTCCAAGCCCATGTCTGACAAAGTAGCCGGGCGCGTCACAAGTCGTCGCATCCATTCCCAGCAACACCAAGATGCCAAAACTAACGGACCGGCAACTTCGCTGCAGGCCGTCACGGCCGCAAGGCGAAAACATCCGCTGAGCGCCGCGACGCAGAAGAGACGGCACGAGCGGAAAGGCACCAGTGAATATTCCTCCAAGGCTGCAAAGCAGAAATGGATGCAGATTGACAGAAGGGTAACAGGCTCAACTTGTGCTTCCTGATTTGTTCTGAGATGTTATTTATTTTTCTTGCAAATATTTCTCTTTTCTTTAAGCTATAGTCCATCATTTGTAATTTGTGCATTTTGTTCGTTTGAAGCAACGAAAGTGCTCAAAATCTAAAGAAGGGTACTGAACAACTAACCTAATGAAGTTTCAGCTCAGCTTCAGCTGTGTATTCCGAGAAAAACAACATTCTAGGATCTCAATTTCAAATCAAAAGTTGCTGAATCATGTTTTGAATTGCGCCTGAATTCAGCGTCCGAGACACGTTCTCGCTGAGCCGATTGCAGCTACGCGATGTTGCGCAGCGATCCGACGAGTTATAGCAGCCGCGCGCGTGTGTGTGTCGTGCCAATGATTGCGCGCGCTTCGCCCAATAACAAAAAGAACTACTAATTTAAATTTTCCTACGGTGCGTCTTAAGAAGCACCGTTGGAAAGGCATTCTTTTGTTGATTACTTCAAAATGACAGCTTGCCAGAAAGAATAATTTCACAGGGAGTTTAGTCCCCTTACTATCTTTCAACCAAGTATGTTTTTCAACAATAATGACGCCAGCCACTTTTCGGATAGCTGCAAATGATGGACTATAGCTTTAAAAGTGAAGTTCTTTTATGATCTTCCTAAAAGTCAAATAATTGGTAAAAAGCTGTAAGCAAGTCATTGGCTTGAGCAAGCTTGCAGTTTTGAAGTCGAGTCTATCACAAGTCGACTCAAGTCCTCACAGGTCCATCTAAAAGTCCACACAAGTTCATCAGAGAACCTCACAAGTTCATTACAAGTCCTCACAAGTCCTTACAAGTATACAAGTCCACATGTCCTTACAAGACCAGCACACAAATCCTCACAAGCCCATCACAAGTGCTCATAAGTTCATCAAAAGACCCCACGAATCCATCACAAGTCATTACAAGTCCATCACACGTCCTCACGAGTCCATCAAAAGTCCTCACAAGTCCTTCAAGTCCATCAGAAGTCCTCACAAATCCAAGTCCTCAACAGTCCATCACAAGTACTCACAAGTCCATGGCAAGTCCATCACAAGTTCATTACAAGTCCTCACAAGTCCACAAGTCCTTACAAGACCAGCACACAAATCCTCACAAGCCCATTACAAGTGCTCATAAGTCCATCACAAAAGTCCTCACGAGTCCATCAAAAGTCCTCACAAGTCCTACAAGTCCATCAGAAGTCCTCACAAGTCCTACAAGTCCATCAGAAGTCCTCACAAATCCTCAAAAGTCCATCACAAGTCCACACAAGTCCTCACAAGTCCATGGTAAGTCATCACAGGTCCATCAGTCTCGAGTCAAGTCAAAAGCGTTTCAAATGAACTATGACAAAATCAATCCCTTGTTATTGAAATCAGCTGTCTACGTATATACCGTACATGATTGACAGTGTTGAGTACCCTTTGTATATAATGTACATGTATTTATTCAGGTGACAGACATAGTGAACCGACGCCAGACAATAACCCACATGGAGCGCGACATGGAACGCTACCTTCACCACCGACAGAGACTCAGCAAGAAACGGGAAAAGACCTTCCGCCGACGAGACGAGGCCATCCGAGCCGGAAAGGATGCCGCAACGATCACAGAGCTGAACGACCAGATAGACGGAATGAACGCCAATATTGAATATGTGCAGGAACAGATTACGGAGTGCCAGGCTAATATCATGGAAGTCATGGAAGGAAAGGTAAGGAATTTCAAATTCCAATGGATAGAATGAATGCCAGTATTGAATATGTGCAGGAACAGATTACAGAATGCCAGGCTAATATCATGGAAGTTATGGAAGGAAAGGTAAGGAATTTCAAATTCCAATGGATAGAATGAATGCCAGTATTGAATATGTGCAGGAACAGATTACAGAATGCCAGGCTAATATCATGGAAGTCATGGAAGGAAAGGTAAGGAATTACGAATTCCAATGGATAGAATGAATGCCAGTATTGAATATGTGCAGGAACAGATTACGGGATGCCAGGATAATATCATGGAAGTCATGGAATGAAAGGTAAGGAATTACGAATTCCAATGGATAGAATGAATGCCATTATTGAATATGTTCAGGAACAGATTACGGAATGCCAGGCTAATATCATGGAAGTCATGGAAGGAAAGGTAAGGAATTACGAATTCCAATGGATAGAATGAATGCCAGTATTGAATATGTGCCAGAACAGATTACGGAATGCCAGGCTAATATTGAAGGAAAGTTAAGGTGCAGGGAAACATGAGACAGATAAAAAGAATGCCATAAGGACTATGTTTAGGAACAGATTATGGAATGTAAGGGATATTTCAAGGAAGTCATGAAAGGAAAGGTAATATTTAAAGTCATGGAATTTTCGGCTTGGCTTCAAAATAACTTCGCAAAGTGTTTGCGAATGTTCGCCCGTTGCTAAGGGCAAGCCAGTATGCAAACTTCGCGGAGCTACTCGTCCATGCGTGGTTTAACCACGCATGGACGAGTAGCTCCGCGAAGTTTGCATACTGGCTTGCCCCTAGCAACGGGCGAACATTCGCAAACACTTAATAATGAGGTAGTCATGACTCCTGTGCCTTTGTCATGGTCCTACTAAATAAATCATATAGAGGAGTCTTATTATAGTAATGCAAAGTCAGCGGACGTGTGCCCAAATATATTGAGGTTTACTTGAGAGAGCGTTTGCGATCAGTTTTGAGAAGTAGCATGTGATCAAAATATTGATTTTTTTAATGCAGAAATGAGTCAAAAACACCATAACAAATTCAAACAGAGTAGCAAGTTTCCGCATGTGGTTAATTTGATTGTAAACAGGTTTTTAGGGTCAATCTGATATCATATGCTACATGTAAGTGAATTTGTTATACTGAAATAATTTATAAATAGTCAGGTTTTTTTTAAACTCTATTAATTTCTTTCATTATTTGATTATTTGTTTCACCACAGGAGGGAACATGGGTATGTGAAAACGAGTTTTTTTTTCAAACATTAAAATGTGTTTGATAGATTTTATTTCTGTGTGAACCACGGTATCACGTTGCTTTTTACACACATGTATGTTTTTAGATGTGTACAAAATCTCACTTATTTCCCAATCAGTTTGATTTTAGTTTTCCTGTCCGTATCTTCATGAGTGAAAACCGTGGTGCCTATTTGCCAACCCAGTACAACCGCATTCAATGTTTAGCGTTGCTTGCCCTCAGATTATTTGATTTTTGTTCTCATCATTTTTTGGCTACTTTGGCCAGTGAAGTATTAAATGTACTTTATTTTTCTGTGGAGTGTGAACTGTATCATACGTTGCATGCTTAATTCGTCTAAATGATTTCATTGCTCGTAAAGAACGTTTTCTTTGATTAGACTAGTCGATTTTTGTTTGCAAGTTTTGAATATACATGTACATGTAGGTACATGTATCAAAGTGTGTTTGTTGAAGGAATGTTTATAAACATCATGAATGCACAATTTGTGTATGTTCTGCAAATTCAATGTCAAATGTGAGGCGTTCTGGCAAAATAAGACAGAACTGGGCATAGGCCATAGTGGAGAAAAATGTAAAAAAAATCTAGGTGGCAATGTTTTTTTTTATTTTCAAATTTGTAATCTCTGATACATTGTATGTCTACTTACCCTTTTTGTAAAGAAATTCTATAAAAATCCTGAAAACATGTTTTTAAGGATACAAAATAGGCCTTGTTCATATTAACCACTACAACACATAACTCAAAACTTGGAAGACCTTTTTCTCTGTATTTTACAACGTACTTTTTGGACTTTGGACATTTCAATAAATGCAAAATTTTAACAACAGCCATAACTTGCCAACAGAATGTCCGATTGAAGTGCAACGGACAGTATTGTAAAGAGAATTTTATTCTCTTTCCTACATCGACAAACTCTCATTTCAACCTCTGCCAAGTTGTGTCTCATTTTGCCAGAAAGTCTCACAAATAATCAATTATCCATTTGAAAGATTTTGTCCTTTGCTTACATGGAAATGTAATATGGACTCCAGTGAACAAACAATACTGGAAGATGGCGCGTTTTTAGCACTTTTTTACGCACTTGTTCACACGTGTACACCCAAAGTACGCATCGGCTGTTTTAATTTTAAACCACAGCGTTTTGATTGGTACTACGATGTACATCATTCAGTTTTTTAAGTCTGCATATAAACACATGTACAACATTAGTCTCTAAAACAAGCCACTCTTTGATTTTCTAACCAACAGGATGAGGTGGATGCTGGTGATGCCGCTGCCGTCATTGACACTTGCTGCTTGCAGGAGGCTAAGTACATGCTGGAACACTTCCTCCAACTGACTATCAATAAGGTAGAAAACATTGGTTACAAGGAGAAAATTGGAGGGGCTTACACATGTACCGTACATTTTGAATGCTACTTACAGGGTGCTAATACATGCTGGAACACTTCGTACAAATTACTATCAATAATGCAACATCCATGGGTTAAGGAGAAAAATTGGAGGGGCATATTGAACTTTTGGGAGGCTGAATACATCAAGATAATCGAAATGCAGACAGACACACAGAGATTCCTGGAATTATTATAGTAAGATGTTGACTCACCTAGGCCATTTTTGAAACTTTGGCATTAGCCTCTAGCATTGGCTTCATCTGGGGTCCAAAAACCATTCGTAGCTTTTTAAGCTCGAACATTAATGAAATGACCCCAAATATGGCTCTGTTATACATCATTGGATGCTCCTGTAGCATAAAATGAGCACTTTGAGCTTAACTCTGCAAAGGCAGAGACTTGAAAACACGAAGCTTGCAACCTGAATCCCATTCTGGAGAGGAAACCGTAGTTTCAGAAATGACTCTAGTCGGGTACCTTTCCTCTGCTCTCCAGGGCCAGCATGCCTCTCAGAAGGAATCCCAAGTCAAGGAGTTGGAAGCCAAACTTCACCAGGAGGAGCAGAATAGCTTCCTACAGCAGCAGTTGCTGCAGCATGTTCTGTCAGGTCAGGACCTGGACGTGGAGTTTGACGGCCTGTATATGCACCCAGAGCCGGAGAGCAGCAGTAGTGCCGAGAGCTCAAGGGCGCCCTCCCCTGTCGAATCCAGGTCAGTTGATTTTCATGAAAGAAAAAACAGGGGCACCCCAATAGCAGGCAATATTCTCCTTTTATTGGGAATTACTGGTAGCCCATTGCGCATAGCCCCATTAATGTGGTTCATATACTGGATTTCCTCCGTATATTCAAATGATACCAAATTCATTTCTGTAGCTTAATTTATTTGAAAGATATGACACAGGAACTTTAACAGTGTTCTGCCAAGTTTCGCTACCCTCATTTCGAGAAAAATGGCTTTGAAAAAAAAAAAGACACGCACTGTGCCACCAACGGCAGTGAAAAACGTTCTTCAGTTTTTCCTCTTACTTTGGTATTTTTTTCCCGAACAAAATGCATAGTGTGAATCTTGGATACCTTGGCTACTCAAAAAAACCAACAATTAATATCAAGTTTGTCATGATTTTTGTAGTATTTGACTTTCAGGCGTTGATCGCTCAAAACAAGATTTTGGGGGACATTCCTCATTTTGCCTCAGTAGGTCACAGATGTGCACAAAATCAACCAACTATTTCCCAGTTTCTGGCTTCAGTTGAATTATAACAAAAGTTCATTTCAAGTTGAGCACCATTTGTTCTCCCAAATGGATTTGAGATTTAAACAAAACCCAACTTTTGTAAGCAGATCACAGAGAGGGTTTTGAATAATCCAAAGTTGAATGACTTTTGAAATGAATGTTGAAATGAAATAAACTCTATTTCAATTTTGTACCACCTTCCACATACTGTTCTGTTAGTACCAATCAAGCTTTTCATTTCTACATGTGTGTCTATATCATTGTTCTTAAAGGGTGCTACCATACATGTTCATGTATACATTGTACTGTCTCTTCTAATAAAGCCACTTTTATGTCTGTTTATATATTGTTTTTTCAGTATCACATTCTCTTTCTCACAGTTTGTGTGGTATGTATCTTGTATGTATCCACTGGCTCTTTTCTTGTAAGCTTTGTTTTGGTGCCTTCTTTGTTTGTTCATTTTTCATGGTGTGATAAAATGTTCCAACAAGGAAATAATATACATAAATATAAATAAACCAGGGCTGTGCATTGGAACTGGGTACCCGAGTACCCGACCGTGGAAGTCAGGGATCTGGAACCCGTATCATGGGATCTGGAACCCGTATCAGGGATCTGGAACCCGTATCATGGGATCTGGAACCCGTATCATGGGATCTGGAACCCGTATCTTGGGATCTGGAACCCGTATCATGGGATCTGGAACCCGTATCATGGGATCTGGAACCCGTATCAGGGATCTGGAACCTGTATCATGGGATCTGGAACCCGTATCAGGGATCTGGAACCCGTATCATGGGATCTGGAACTCGTATCATGGGATCTGGAACCCGTATCATGGGATCTGGAACCCGTATCATCATCATGGGATCTGGAACCCGTATCATGGGATCTGGAACCCGTATCCAACTTTACAAATAACTTCTCAGACAATGAAAAAGAAAGGTTGTGAATGTCATTTTCAAAGTGAAAGCTAGGTACATGGTAAAACAAAACATAATTTGTGTGTATGATGCTCGTGAAACTTGCAGCTTTTTCCATAAAGCTGTAGAGCTCACTAGCTGTACACACTTGTATTCATGGTATTCACCGAACAAATGTGGCAATATTACCGTGCAGATCTTTATGAAAAATAAGAACAGCAACTTTTGAGATGTACCAGTAAATTTTGGGGTTGGGTTTCTTTATTGGGTTTTGATCCGTGTTTTGTCAATCTGGTACCTGGTTCCCGTACTACCCGTAAATGTACATGTAGGTAGGCATACACCGCGTTATGGGGAAGTTTTTTATTGTTAGGCAAATTAGGACCGAGTAATGGGGACTTTCTGCTGTCCCCATAGCATTTTCGGTCCCCACAAATACCTTGCACAGACGAGTGTAAGTCCCCACAATTACGGAACAAGAATTTACATACATGTACACACCCCTAAATGCACCGGTAACTGTAAAGTGCAGTCAAAAATGTGTGTGTAGTCAAAATTTGGTACTTCGGCATTAATTTTTTTTCTCAATCCAATGCAAATATCATTGGTGAATGTGTACGTTGTAATGTAACTCCATCTACTTGTTCAATGTACTGATTTGCGCAAAACTTTCAAAAATTGCATGACTTCCAATATACCGGTATGTTTTCGTTACATGCACATGTAGATTGAACGTTGTGATATTATCTTTCTAATTTTGCTTCTTTTTCACTTTTCCCATCCTTTGCTTTTCCTGATTCTCTTGTGACTTGTATTGTCCTTTTCCTACACCAAATTGTGTCTGTTGTATCGTTCTGCCATTTTCATCCATTGTCATTCTCAACTTCCACGGTTCGTTGACATTTCCAAACATCTGTATGTGAACCTGCCTGGCATAAAACAATCGCCATCATGTTGCCTGTTTTGATCTTGCGTTTGTCTTTCACATATTTGGTACTGACTTGTCTTTGCATTGCAAATCTGATCTTATTTGGGAATAACGCATTATGGCATTAATTAATCATTTCAATGTTTTGAATGTGAATGTTAATACATTATCATCCCATTGCTATCTATGTATTGATGTATCAACATTTGATAACATTTTTTTTTTCATCTGCTGTTTTACCCACAATTTTGTCATTTTCAATTTAAAATAAAATTGATACTGTTTTTTTTTTCACCATGCATTTTCTGATTCTGGTTCTGTGCCCAACAATGGTATCGACATTTGCAAAAACGACTCATTTTATCCCGAAACCCCCCCCCCCCAAAAAAAAAATCTGGGTTGTTTTTTCCCATTCCCAACCATGACCTCATTGATCCTGTGTTAATCTTATGTTCATCCTGTGTTAATCGTATGTTAATCCTGCGTTAATCTTATGTTAATCCTGTGTTAATCTTATGTTACTCTTATTTACTCCAACGATCTGACCCCTAATTTCATAATCCGAACTGTTCAACTGACCCGGACTGACACAATCCAACTTTTTATGACGCCATCCATTATCACGTTTTGGCGTGACAAACTTTGAACTTGAACAATCTTAAAAATTGGCTTTAAAAATTTGATTCAATATTTTGACTTTACTAAAAAAACGTACAGTTGGTTTTCAGTTATCATCATCGCCTTATTTGTCCTACTTCTGCTGATGTTCTATGCAGTCAGATGCCTTCTCGTCAAAACTAAAAAGTGAAATGGATTACAACTGAGTGGGGAAGGGGGTTTCCCCCCCCCCCCCCCCATAAGCCATTTGCGAATAACCTATACCCTTTGAGAGTTTAATTTGAATAACACCTGGTACACTGACTTGCTCATAATGCTTGGCACGTGTTATTAACTTTGAATTCTCCAGACCAAAGACATTGTTGCTATATCACATACATGTACTTCAGGGCAAGCTCTTGCATAGTTACATAAGAGACGCTCAGCACCAATACAGTCGAACCCTCTTAAAGGGAAAATACAACATTTGCAAACATCAAAAAATAAAACTACCAAATCATTTTGAAATACCTTGCTGGACTGTTAGTGAATGACAGTGTAAAGCATCCTGTAAAATCATGGCACCCGGTATACTGTCATTTTCAAGAAAAGTGGTATTTTTTTAATCAATTTCCAACGCTGATCGGCCGATCAGCGTTGGAAAAAAACTGGCTTTTTTTCAAATACTGGCCCCAATTGACCATCGCACTTGTTTGCAATCGATTACAAACCTATGAACGGGTACGAGCCAGCTAGACTGGTTCCCTGACCTTACAATTCCCCAATGAATGTAAACTGCTCTGTTTCTTCTTATATGGAGTCAGGGAACCAGACTACAGGAAAATGATTGTTTTTCTTTGTTTTTATAGCATTTTCGAGCCCAAAACCTCAAAAAAGTCAGCGTAACTATATTTGCTTTATATATTTCCAACCCCCCAATTCCATCCATTTCTGAAAATTACAGCAAAAGCAAATGATGTATCAAGAGCACTGTTAATACAAGGTCCTGCTTATAACAAACAAAAATTTAGGTCCCAAGTCTTTGTTTTTTCTTTGTTTTCCAATACTGTTAATACAAGGTACCTGTTATAACAAGGTAATTTGTCAAGTCCCAAGGACCTTGTTATAAAGGTGTTGGACTGTACACTGTTCACAATGGGTGAGAATGGTTTAAAGACTCCAGACCATTGCGGAGCTTGGAGGTTGCTACATTGTAGCATAAAGGCTTGCCCGGAATCACATGATATAGCAACAGTCTCTTTGGTCTGGAAAATTCAAAGTTTATTAAAGGGAATGTACAACATTTGCTTTTGCTGCAATTTTCAGAAATAAATGGATTTGGAGGATTAGTATGTGTTAGCAAATATTGTTAAAGTGACTTGTTTCACATTTTGGACTTGTAGATGTTGGAAAAACCAAGAAAACCATTCATGTTCTTGTAGTCTGGTTCCCAGACCCCACTTAAGATGAAACGGAGAATTTATAGACTTTTGGGAATTGTAAGAGCAGAGAGTCAGTCTAGTAGGCTTGTACCCCTTCACAGTTGTGTAATCAATTGCAAAGAAAACACGGAATAACTAATTATGAAAAATTAGGAGCAGTTTTGAAAAAAAGCCAGTTTTCTCCAACGCTGGTCGGCCGACCAGCGTTAGAAAAATACCATTTTTCTTGAAAATGTCAGCACACCAGGAGCCACGATTTACAGGATGCTTTAGCCTGTCATTCCCTAACAATCCAGCAAGGTATTTAGTGATAATTTGATCATTTCGTTTTGTAATGTTTGCAAATGTTGTATCTTCCCTTTAAATGTGCCAAGTCAGGGCACCAGATAATACTCTGGATTTAATTCACAAATGGCTTATTGTCTTCCTCCTCCCCCCAGTCCCCCCCCCCAAGAAAATCACTGAATAAATAAAGACTGAAAACCATCGAAAATGGCCCTAAAATGGGGTGATACAAAATGTATAACATACATGTAAATACATAAATAAATTGTTTTGCACAACGACCCCCAAGCGCAGAATGATTCCCCCCCCCCCCCCCCCCCCGAAGAAAAAAAACCTAAAATGTATTTGCCTCTCACTCGCTCCCAAAGTTATAGTGTGGCGCTGCCACTGGGTGTGGGTACCGGTTTACATAATGTGAAGTACAGTATGCATGACTAATGTTATTGTCGATGTGCACAAACCTATAGCGTCTTCACATGAGTGTCAGGTGTCATTGGTAGTGCATTCAAATGTCCCTCCCAGTGGTCTCCCCCAACTCTCCCTTTGTAACCGTTGAGGGGGTACTTGTGTGTGGAGTACATTTTAGGGAAGAAATAATTTTCCAGCATTAGGCCAAAAAAAAAAAAATATTCGGTCTCTGGTCAGACCAAAGTTCCGGAATTGACGCGGCCACGCGGCTTTTTTTTTTTTTTTTTTACTTTTTTTTTTTTTTTCTTCAAGCTTGGATTGTACAGACAAGGTGGGTACTATTTTGCTTTTTTGGTGTCCTCATGTACACTGGTGTCCTTAATTTGCCTTGGTGCTTTCGATCATTTGCCTTGGTGCAATTTCCCATTCCTTGGTGCTCTTTGGTAAAAAAAATTGAGGAGGTGCGGAAATAGAGGGCGCTGTTGGAGCTACCGCGGAACATTTCGGGAAAAAAAAAGATCGACGCGCATGATTAAAATCGACGCGCGCGCTGACCAGAGACCGACTTATTTTTTTTTTTGGCCTTACATACCGGGGGGGTACAGTTACAGATTTATTTGGAATAAGGCAAAAAAAACCAAATACACATGTAGTCAGTCTCTGGTCAGCACGAGCCTTGATTTTGATCATGTGCGTCAATCTTTTTTTCCTTCAAATTTTCCGTGGTAGCTACAACAGCGCCCTCTATTGCCGCACTGTGGTACCTCAAATCTCTGTACCAAGGAGCACAGAGGAATGGGGAAATTGCACCAAGGCAAATGATGGAGGGCACCAATGTATAATGAGGATGCAAAATAGTACCCACCTTGTCTGTACAATCCAAGCTTGAAAAAAAAAATTTAAAATTAAAAAAAAAGCTGTCGCCGCATCAATTCCGGAACTTTGGTCTGACCAGAGACCGGCTATTTTTTGGGGGGCCTAATATCACTACACATGCCTAAGGTTTTTATATTTTATTAAGCCTGCCCCTTGGAAAATCATCCAAATGAAAGGAAAATGTAGTAATTTTGAAATTGTATTGGTTATTGGTACAGGACCAAATAATGCATGAAAATTTGAGATTTTTTAAAAGAATTTTGTATATTTGCTAATTATAATACAACATGTACACAAATGTATACTATAAACATAACATTTATTATAAACATGTATTTTCTGTCTTCCCCTGTTTTAATTTTTTTTTAAAGAATGAAACTTCTCCTTATCAGGGAATTTCGTACAAATAATTGTAGGTTTTTATTGTGCAATTATTAGTTCTAAATGTAGCTCAGGGAAAATCAATACAAATTTGTAATTCTGAAATTATGTACAGTATACCGGTACATGTAGTTCATACAGACCATTTCCCTTGTGACGTCACACCGACAGGAAACCGATAGGCAACACAAAGATTTGGGCATCTTTTTCCCATATGATACAGTTATGTCCATACTTAAAACCACTCATACTGCAAGAGAGTAACTGGTATATGCAGTCCTGAAGAGAACAGTTTTCTGAAAGTGTGCATCACTATCCAATATTTATCTGATCATGTAATACCTACAGTATGTCTTTATGATGACAAATGCAGTAACATGTATAATTGAAGCGATATTACAATGTGCCTAGTTGCATGTTGACTATAACTAGAGAGGAATTTGAATAAATGCATAATGTATACAGAGAAATTTTGTGCAGACAAAGTACCAGTATACCGGTACATGTACATGTAGGTACACAAGTTGTGTCCACTTGTTTGCATTGTTGTAGAACTCGTACTGTACTTGGTACTTTTTTCGCACTAATGAGAATGTACTTGTACTTGTGGTAAAGTACTTGCACTGATACTCAATGAAATATTTTCCCCCAGAAAGACTAAAAAAGTGTAGCGGTATATGCAGGATTTTTTTGTTGTTGCACTGTTTTGTAGGTGTGTTTAATGCCTAACTTGACAGCAAAAAGATCTGAGGAACTAGTGTTCACTGCTAAAATGATTTTCTTACGTTTCCTAACATATATTTTTTTCTTGGTCATACTCCCTAAAAAATGTGTATGACAAGAAAATATTTCTTGAAACAAGATTTATTTTCTTATGTGAAAATTATGTGTGCAGAAAATTATGTGTACTCATTGAGATTGCTGGTACTCATGGAAAGTACTCATATTCGTACTCTTATACTTGTTCTCGTACTCTTACACTTCCTCTTATTTGTACTTGTACTTGTACTCCTACTCCTACTTGTACTCCTTCACTTACCTTACTCTTATTAATTTTGTACTTGTACTTGTGGGGGAAAAATGGCCTTGCACTCGTACTGCTACGCCTAGGAAGATGACTCACAGTCGCACTCATGGCAAAGTACAATGTACTGTACCGTACTTTACTCTTATGGAAATTGTGGATAAATGTCTTTTTTTATTTGGCTGGTCTGAGAGGGGCCAGCCTTGTATCCCCTTTGTTTTTTAACTGACTGACTCACTCACTGACTTCCCAACTGTCTGATGACTGGCCGACTGTCACTCACTTGTGAATACATGCAGACTGGTTTGTACATGTATGTATCTCACACAGACTGACTCACTTGTGACTTACAATACAATGTACCGGTATATATGCCCAATGGTTTGGCAGCAACTTTGGGAGAAGCTTTGGGAACAAGTTGCCTATTCATATACATGTACCGGTATGTCATGTATGGTAGCCATGCATCTACATCACATACATTAGTCTTGTGCTGCCTGTGTCATTTACTGTACTATACCCACAATTTTCTTTACCACGTAAACCTTACATTGTACACGTATTTTGTATGCATGTTCCGAGTCTTGTATTAACCGGTATGTTTGTTGTGTTTTCTTTTCTCCCCTGGTCTGATCCCCTTTGCCTTGTGATTGGTGGATTTGCCTGCATGTCTTTGGTGTATGCTGGTTTGTGATTGGCTACAGTGCTAGTACCCAGAATGCATTGCTGAATCATGCTAACCCTGCTTCGTTACCTACTTTTGATTATCACCAACTACCCACAATGCCTGCTTCTCAAATTCCGGTTCGGACAACAAGGGATAAGGTAAGCACATTTAATTTGTTTATTTTTTTAATTTAATATTGTTAATTTTCATTTAATTTTGGCCATCGTACCGGGGGAGCTGGTGGCGATGGGGGGTTGTTTGGGAACCACGATAACTGATATGATCCATATAAGGAGCTGTTGAGCACACGCCACGCGTATCATAGAAATGGCCCGAACAAGGAGTATTAAAATGAAGGAATACAATTCTGGAAGTTTGTTGAGAATGGGGAAAAAGAGGGATAGGCTTGGACAATATTTTAATAATATTGCATAGTGACTATATTTTCTTGATACCAAGCAATACCAAAACGATGTCAAAATACCGAATTTATACCAACGACCTTGGTATGAAATTTCAATACAGTGATTTCCCCTCTTAATTGTGGACTGAAATTTCAGTAAGGGGCCTGGGGCTCAAAACTAGTTAAGGGCTCTCGCCTTCAGCACCTGTCATTATCGATGACCAGACCAACACCACATGACTCTATTGTCCCCTTAACCCTAAAAGGGCCGAGCTGTTATGACTTTTTAGCCTCGAGCCTTGCGCATCTTTTGATACCAAAAACATAAAAATCGGACCACAGGTTGCCGCGCAGCTAAAAAAATTTCCGGCACTATGCGCCGTGAAAACTGAATTTTCCTGTATACGTCGTGTACACAGAGCAGGATTGCCATTCGTACATAACAATAATTAATTAGCCATAATTCCAAAACCCTTTGACCTATAGTCATGAAATTTCTTGGGTATGTTTATGAAGAGTTGCTCCTTGCATGTACCAAGTTTCAAAATTTTGCGTACTCGATGGCCGAGATCTTATTGGGGCAGAATCCCCCCCCCCCTCTTCCCCCCGGCTGAGAGATGGTCAAAATAACCCGGCCCTTTTGGGGTTAATTAGATTATCCTACCGGTACTTAACTGTCACTCGGAGGGAGTGTGGCCTAGTGGTAAGGGTTCATGATCAGAGGGTCAGGGGTTCGAATCCTGTTGCTAGCCATGCGTTGTGTCCTTGGGCAAGCCACTTAATCCCACTTGCCTCTCTCCACCCATGAGTTTTATGGGTACCGGCATCAGTAGGGGAAAACCTGTGATGGGCTGGCATCCCATCCGGGGGGAATAGAAACATTCTCAGTCGTTTCGTGGCAGTGAAACCAGAGATAAATGCCGGCCTGATGGGCCATAATGCTCGTGGCTGACTTAGCATGTTTACCTTACGTCTTGTTCAGGCGCGACGTCGCACAGCTACACCCGAGGAGCTCCTGTACGCAGGCCCCAAGGATCCTGTCACTGCTGATGCGACTATCCTCCTCCCATTGATGGAATCTAATGAACCATCGGGGGATGACTCTAGTCTGTCGGATACCGGTACCGTCATCATACCACCGCCGAGATTGACTGCAGCCAGAAGAGAAAGAGACATGCTATCAAGGTAAGGAGCTATCTCATTAAAACTGTATAGGATCGTTTGCATTTATCCCAAAATTACATAATTAAATATATTATGTGTTCTTGTGGGTTTTTTTTTCTTCAACCATGTAGGCCAGGCCAGCGTATCGAGTCTCCATCCTTGCGAAGGAAGCTACATACCATCCTACATCAACCTCAACCAGTTACATACTCCACTCCGGCTAGCTCGGTGTAAGTACAAGTGTTAAACAATACATGACTAGCTCTATGTAGGTACATGTACAAGTAATATGCAATACATGTACATGACTTGGTCTATGTACATGTAGGTACAAGTACGATAATACAATACATGACAAGTGAATTTATCTTCAAGCAAATTTGAATCCTTGATCCTGATTGGTTGATCCATGGTAAAAACAGTGTGATATTATACCTAATTGTACAGTCCGTGTACTCTGTGTATTGGGCTATTCAAAGATGCGAGCGACATTCCAGCTGTATGCGCTAAACCGCCAAAAGGTTCATGTAAAGTGTGCTAGTTTAAACTTTACTGTACGTCAAGTTTGCTTGAGATAAATTTGTTATCCCGCTCGCGCTCAAAAAACACAGAAAATGTAGTGCGTCTGATGTGTGCCACATACAACCAGGCCTGGTAGTACGTTAGACACAGACGCATTACATTATGCCATGTTCGACTCGCGCTCGCGTGATAACTAATATAGTCTGGGTACAAGTCGTCAGGAAAAGACTTTAATTTACGGTAATTTTTTGACATCAAATGAAGCAACTTTACTAACTACATCAACTACATCGATATCGAGTCCCATCTGAGTAGTTTGTGAATTTTGTCTCACAATCACATTATGAGTAAAAAAAAAACCAAACCCAAATGGCAGGACCAATTTTTGAATGAAGTTTTGCCTGTAGCACTTTCAAAATCTAGGATATGAAAGCCCAATGAATGAGCTTTCGTTTAGTACAAGAATCATTCAAATCACTCATGTGTTGTGTTATGCAACATTTCCTAGTGTTTTAAATTCTTGTTATAAGTTACCGTGTGTGATTCTTATTCTTTCTGTAGTGAGCACACCCCGGATCCCTCCCCGCCCAGCTCCCCTCCTCCCACAAAAGGCCGAAGTGATAACGTCTTCTCACGACTCACGCAGAGTAACTCACCTGCTGCAGCTCGCAATGGAAGGTGAGTCCAGTCTTTCTTTAATAGCCATGGCTACCTTGTCTGAGTCGTGTGTTATGGTACATGGGTTTGAACTCTGACGGGGAAAATGATGCTTGTGTTCTTGGGCAAGACACTTCAGCACAATTCCCTCTCCACCCAGGAGTGTAGATGGGTACCTGTTAGGGTAGAGACCAGATTACACTAATCTCAAGCTGCTACAGTGCTTTTCTAATTGGGTTAGGGTTGTGCTGAATGTACCAAATATTCAAATATTCGACCTGCAACCGAATATATACGAATATTGTTTTAAATTGAAATCTTCAAATTTAACTGTATATTAGTTGCATGGTTTTATTATTTGAAAATGCCACACTTTTGTCCAAAGCCATTTTGCCATGATTGAAAGCTTCCATGAAGAACATTAGCTCAAATATCTCTATAAAATCTGTCAAATGTCAGCCATTCTGCTACGCAGTCTTTATCATGTTTATATTTTAATAGTTTCTGTGTCAATTTGCAGATGCAAATCCTTATCCTCGGCAAGTTTAAGCTGTTGCATGTTAAACTTTATCTGTGCAGTTTGAGTATTTGAATATTCGATCAAGTCTGAGTTACAATAATCGAATAGTAAATTATTCGAAAGACACAGTCCTTAATTGGGTACTTGTTCGGATTTCTTCAATCTTCAGTAAACATGGTGAAGAAGTTTGTTTGTGGGATGACCTGTAAAGTCAAGATTTATGAATGGGAATGTTTAGAGCTTGATGAAATTCACTTACATATACTGTGAAATTTGAGGTAAAAATTTTGCTCTAGCAAGGCACTTAATTAGCGGCGAAAAATCTAAGTGCGTCACGTTAGGGGCCGCGCAACGTTAATGTGCGCGCCACGTTAGGAAACATCAACAATATTAATTGAAACAAACAAACTTCATGAAAGCAAGTGGTCTACAATGTATATAATATTCAGACACAATTTGTTCATCTATAGAGCTGAGAATTTCAAATTTTTCGAAAGGAATTTGTACAAATTTCATGTAGATTGTATATATTTGACTGTCAAATTCACTGATTCCGTTTTACTCCCAATAATGCCTTACAGTAAACAAACAGATGAGGATGATGAGTAAGTGGCAACAAAGAATCGTATGCATGGAGTATTTTTGATTTTCACTGATCTATTTTACATAACAGACAAGTCAAAGCACTGGCTAAATTTGTACTACATGTAAAAAGAGTGGATCAAAGGCTGTTTAACTGTGAAGTTCTGCAGCCTTTTAGATGTTTAAACAAAGAAATGACAAGGATTGTACATTGATTGATAGTGGTTCTTTATTATCGTGCATCGTTTATTCTTTTCTTCATTTTGTGTTTCCGTCATAATTGCAGATAAACATACATGTACATGTACATGTTTGTACATTGCCTATACTTGTGTTCAGTGTGCTTGCGCTGTTTCTCATTGGCTGTTTAAATTACATGTGCATTGTTGAGTAGAAGGCTGTTACATTGTGTACATTTCATAATTACAATTGTGCTGTTATTTCTTTTCAAAATGTAAGTCTTGTGTACTTTTTTCTTAACAAAATTGCTGCTTTTAATATCCTTCAGCTACAATGTACATGTACAAACCATGTATTGCATGATACTGTATGCTCTAGCTGCATTATTGTACATTTGAAATTTTACTGTGTTAAAATTGCTAGAGTGCCTACAGTATCTTATTTAGGTAAATGTATGCGCAGTATACAAATGTACATCCTCAAGCTTTTTGAAGAAAAGAATTTGAATTTATAAAAAACAAACCTATTAATGAAATATGTTAATGAATAAGTCAGACATTGCTTTGTTTTGTTTTTTTGAGATTTTTTTCCAGTTTGATGTTGAGTTGTGATATTGTACATTGTAGGCCTACTTGTTTGATTGTGCTTGTGTGCCTTTTTGAAGGTTCAAAATCGTTTCTCAAATTATTATATTATTATTAGTTTTGTTAAAGCATTTTTTCCCCTTTTTCTTACATTTCGTTTTCTATCACTTCTTTGTGTAGCACTCACATTGAGTGGCCCTTAAAGGTAATATACACAATTTGCAAACATCAAAAAACAAAATTACCAAATTATTATGAAATACATATCGGTACATCTACCATGCTTGACTGTAAATGAATAACAGTCTCAAGCATCCTTGTGAAATCATGGCATCTGGTGTACTGCCATTTCAAGAACAGTGAAATGTTTGTATCAATTTCCAACGATGGTTAACCGACCATGGTTGGGAAGAACTGACTTACATGTACCTTTTCGAATATTGCCCTCAATTTACCAAATTTAGTTTGTCCATATTTTGTTTGCAATCGGTTACACGTCCGTGAATGGGTGTGAACCAACTAGTCTGGTTCCCTGACCTGACAATTCTCTGATGTCTATAACTTGCTCTGTTTTGGCTGAAGTAGGGTCAGGGAACCAGACTATAAGAACAGCTTTTCTTTTCTTGGATTTTCATGCATCTATGAACACAAAACTTTAAAGAGTCCAGTTCAACAATATTTGCTATGAAATACAAACCCCAAATCCATCCATTTCTGAAAATTACAGCAAAAGCAAATGTTGTATATTACCTTTACATAGGGCCTTGTGACTCTCATAAAAAAGGTGGACTGTGAAAAGCACTTTTTTGCTGTTCACGTCATGGCTCACTTCAACTTTCTCGTAGTGATATAGTGACATATACTTCCCTTTATTTTTAGAGGAATAATCAATCCAGTTGCAGCCAAACCACAAGGCAAGGCTCCGTTGGTCTGTACATACACTGCTGAAGGGCACACCAAAGCTGTGCTGTCCGTACAAGCTACAAACGACCTCCTATTCAGTGGATCAAAAGGTAAGAAAAAAGTCTAGAATTTGGGCGATTCACAATGCAGTGCGCTACCAAGAGTTTGCCACGGAGAGTTCATTTTTCCCAGTGCATTGTGGGAGATGGTCGACAAGTTCGCAGGTGCATTTGAAATTGTTTGTTTTTCCAGTCAGTTGTTTCGTAAGGGTATGATTCGAGTATATGTTTGCCCCTTTCTTTTCTTTTATCAATATGGCGTTTGTTGTAAGGGGCAGAACGCCATATGCCCCAATCTAGAACAAATTAGCTCAAGTTGTCTACTGACACTCTTTCAAATAGGTCATGTTTTGTCAACCGTAAACTTGAAAAATTGACTCTCCATGACAACTCTTGGTGGGGCACTGCATTGTGAATCGCCCAAATTGAGACTTTGTCTTTTAACATTCTTGTCTTTTCTTCAAAACTAGAGACTATTTTTTTGTGTTTCCAAAAATGTCATTGGATTGTTCATTTGTAATTGTGGAGTCAGGTTCGCGCAGTGGTTACTTTCCTCGTCTTCTACTGCTGTGGCCCGGGTTTGAGTCCTGCCCTGGTCCTCATGTGGATTGGGTTTTCAGTCCCTACCTGATTCCGTGGGTTTTTCCCCAGAATATTCTTCTGGGGTTTTCCTCCCACCTCTAAAACTGACATTTCTTCTCATTGTCTACTTCTTACGGGCTTCTTCATTAGGCTTTTGAGCTACAGTGATCAAGGCACTTATGGAAATCCTCAGTTTCATTACAAGAAAGATATGAGTAAATACATAATAAGCAATAAACACTACCAAAACGTAAAAAAAAATAATCCTCTTTCTTACATAATGTGTGTGTCAAGATGCAAGTTTTGGCAAAATCTGTTGCCAACCATGGCTTGGATTTATGCCCTTTTGGCAGCCAATACAAATGGCGGCCAATGTTTACAAATGAAAGAAAGGTCTATAAGGGTGCAGGCTGGTAAGTAGGCCCAAATTGCCTCGCCGGCCAAATCACCATTTGCATGCCCTCAAATTCTCTGCTATTTGAGCATTTTGTGGGCCATGAACTGGAAGGGTTTGGAAACAAGAAGGTTGGAAGCCTTAAACACGACTGTGAGCTTGTGTTTCTATTCAATTTGGATGAAATTTAGAGCCCTAAAATTGCTCTATTTTGCAATGGAGCACAGGCATCATTTATCAAAATGGCGATAGGCCACAGGACTACTTTTAGGGATGTTTATCTCTGGATGGAAATTTCTCCCGAAAGTCAGCGGTTTACCAATAGAAATTCGAACAGAAACTGAAAGATGATGAAATAAGCTTTAATTCGATGTTTGTCTCAAACCCCTTGGAGAGTTGTAAGTATTGTTTTCCAAATTTCTGGAAGTGGGAGTGATTATCACTGGAGTCTATGGCAGTGAATACTGGTCTACAACCATACGTCCAGTATCCAATGCAGATGGCGAAGGCAAAGTGGAAAGTGTTGTACTTGCTCCACATTTTTATCATCAACATGACTGTTTTGGTTTTTTATTGGTTTTTTTGGTAAAATTTACAGATCGAACAGTGAAGATTTGGAAGCTAGAGACTGGCCAAGAACTGTCCACCCTGTCTGGACATCCCAACAATGTTGGTACCGTCCGATATAGCGAGGAAAGAGGCTTGGTGTTCAGTGTGTCGACGGCATACATACGCGTGTGGGATATCAGGGAACCTAGCAAATGTATTAAAACATTAAGGTAAGGGGTCAACGTAAAAATTATCAGTGATAACTTGCAAAAAGTTTGGGGTCAGGTTCCCCCCCCCCCCCTTTTTTTTTAAATGACTTGTGACTCAGACTCGGCTCTGACTCGAATCTCGACATTCATGACTTGGACTCAGCTCAAAGGACTCGGATTAGGCCCAAAAGGACTCGGTCTCTGACTCGCCACAGAGAACTTGAACTTGAATTAAATATCATTGGACTTGGACTCAGACCCAACAATGAAGAATTGGTCTCAGTCTTGAGGTTTTGAGGACTCATTACAAATCTGCGTCTTACTGAATTAGTCTAACTTCTTGGTTATGTATGAATACAGCTCCTCAGGACATGTCTTAGACAGTGCAGCTGGTAGCAGTTCATCACGCACCGTTGCCATGCCAGCAGGCGAGACACAAATCAATGATATCGCTGTCAACAAAACCGGCACCAGACTATACGCTGCAGCAGGGAACATCATCAGAGTCTGGTCACTGACCAAGTGAGTTCAATATATACATAAGGCCAAAAAAAAAGTCTCCGGTTTCTGGTAGGGAACTTTTTTTTTTTTTCAAATGTTGGCTGATGACTGCAAATGGTGCCCGACTTAATTTAGTGCAAAATATATGGGAGTCCAGAGGGGCCACATAAAGCTTATACTCGAACGTAACCCCTCCTAAAAACATGTTAAAATTGTGCAGCAGCAGGATTCCAGTCAAACCAGTGAGTTTTGGCAGTTACATAGACGGACTGAAAATTCCAGCTGTCCTATATGCCAACATTGTGGTTACTCTGAAAAATACTATGGTTACTCTTAAACTTGACTGTTGTCCTATGTATTTAAATTAGCATTACTCTTTGCAGGAAGAATCATTACTATTTTGTAGTCTGTAAAGTTGGCATCTCTGCGTTGAAAAAAAAAAACTTTTGCCGACGTGCATGGCTACGGAGGAGAATTTTTTTTTGGCCTAAGATACAACCATATTTTTTTTTTCTCATAATGTATCTCAGTAAGGATATACACTGTCTTGCTATTTTGTTTCACCACAAAAAAAAATATAGATATTATTCTGAAATTGCTATTATTCTAAGCAAACAAAGTATAGAGTTATTCAATTTTGGGTGTGAACCCCCCCCCAAAAAATAAGGCCTACCGGTACCTTTTAGTTGTTACAAAATATCTTGACCAATTTTGAATTATTTGTCCAACATCAACATGCATGGTAGTCTGGTTCCTGACATAGCCAAGAAAAAAAGGAATAGTCTTTACGGTAAAACCCTAAAAATTAGGGTAAAACCCTAAAAATAATGCAGGTAGGTACAATATACGTTTTAAAATAATTTTACTTTGTAACTTTTTGTGTTTGTCTGCAGATCCTTTTATAATTACAACAATGTAGGTGGTGTACTTTGTGGTTCCTTTAACTGTATTCTGTGTTATCTGTTTTTGTGTTTCAACCAATAACACACACAAAAATCACACAGTGAAGACGTTGTTAAATTTCAAAATATGCATAGTATACATGTGTACTCTTTTAAATTTGTGGCCAAATGTGGAAAAAAAGTTTAAGGTTGGCATTTTGACCTAAAACATCCAGGTAGGTTGGGTTACCGTAAACACACAAATCAATTTTGGCCTAATGTTAGGACAACATGCACTAGTTTACTCATTGGGATTGCACATCTTTATTAAAGCATCTCAGTTAAGTAAGACAAAACTAGGATTTGTTTTCCCCCCCCACAGTTTTCAGTCCATCTGCAAACTCTTTGGCGGACCCTCGGCGGCCATTATGTGCGTTGCCGTGGATACCCAGGAGGACTGTGATTATGTGTTTGCAGGATCCAAAGATCACTACATCAAGGTAAAGGCTGGGCCATACCTCATTTCATTGCGACTTAAGACTTTGCCTTAACAATTCATTCCGCACCGACATTTTGCATATTGTATGAGCTGGGGCCGATTTCACGAAATGCTAAGACGCGTATTAAACTCATATTAACTCGGGAATCATCCTATGTTCCATTTCACCAAACTTAAGACGTGTTCAACACAGATACGCCGCTGCAAATACCATCTCAGTTCCCTGCGGAGTATAAAGATCGATGATGCCATTTCGGTGCACAGCAATAACAAAAATAATCTCTGCCCTCACAGGCACCCAATGTACTCCTGGATGGGGAGAAGCAATGAGTGACAGAGTGCCTTGCCCAAGGGCACACGCACCATAACCCCAGGCTGGACTCAAACCCACAACCTGCAGAATTACCATGAGGCCACGGCACTCTGAATGCACTCTGATTCCAAATATTTCTATTGTGCTATTATACATACAGGTGTTTGAGGTTCCAAGTGCTGCCACGGGTTGTTTAACGGCCAAGCATAACCTGGACCCACCTCACTATGACGGTATTCAGTCTATTGCCATCAGTAAACAGCTGCTGTTCAGTGGATCACGCGATGCATGCATAAAGAAATGGGACCTGGAGAAAAAACAGCAAGTCAAGGTAAAACTAGAAATGTGTTTGTGGACAAACACAAGCTGTTTCGGATATTTGAAATACTCTGTGCATGTGATGAACAATTAGTGACATCACTACAAATGTCACCTATAAACACAGCACATTATACGCACATATCAAGTTACAACCAAATGGAACATATAAATCTGTAGATATATAGGCCTTTAATAGAAAAGTGCCCCTTTAATGGATGTCACATGGCATTTGATGATGCCATCACTTGAATTTTCATCTGTAACACATCCAGGTATGGGTACATCAAGTAACAATCCAATCAGACCTATGGGTCTTTAGATATAGGCCTTAGAAATTGCCCTTTACATGTTATGTGACATACGTCACATGACATGTGATGACGTCATGATGACGTCACTTCAATTTCCATCTGTAACACAACATCGGGAAGCATCTCCGGCTGCTGGTCTTAGTGTGTGCCAAGTCTAAAGTCAATCAGACATATGAAAGTGCCAACGTGTATGGTTCGAAGAAAAACGTGTACAAAACCTATGGGGAAAATGTGCATCTTTAATGTGACGTAACCTGACACCTGATAGTGCCAAAGTAGACTGGTAGAAGAAAACCGTGTACAAAACATATGGGGGAATGACTGAAAGAGGAGAAAGAAAAAAAAGGGAAAAAAAATCTTAACAAAAACAAGAGCTGTTTCGGTGTGTACACCGAAACAGCTAATAAAAAACATCAAATTTCTTCATTCAGTTTTTCAATATGATCTCTTGTACTTTAACCCTAACCCTCCATGCTATGTTGGCTAGAAACCCTGCCAAACGCAGCAACATGCAACACTTGTTAAATGGACGAGCCTGCTCAGTGTAGCAAGTTCCAGTAGGTCAATAGTCTCCTGGCCACACTGCCTATATGATAGAGTCTGTGGTCACCAAATGCAGCAGGATACAACTGTGGCATTGTTCAGTGGGACTTAGCTCTCATTGTCTCAGAACTGGCCATTAATGCACTGATGTTGATAGCTGAATGCATCAAAGTGCACCAGACTTTTCCACCTGATGCACTGTGTTTCGTCTGGCTGGGTTAGGGTTTACGTTAGAATAATATGAATCATTTTGAGTCGAAAAAGTAGATTAAACTATGTTGTTGCATATGCACGTATAAATTTGCCATACTATTAAATATGTGGGACCTCAACCCTATGTAAAGTCTGGGTGCTCCATTTTTCAGAATACTGTAAAACAAGGTAGTTGATGGCACTGATATAGTACTCCTATACTTTGAACCGGTATGTGTTGTACTTGCAAGACAAAAAAAATCCCCATCCTTGTTATTTGTGGAAAAGTATAACTCAGATTTGTACAGGTTTGCCTTGTACACTTCCTAGATTTGTGGTATTCGCAAAATTCTTGCACCAGTGTTGTGGTCAAGGACTTTTATCTATAACACGTCCCTGTTTATATACCTTCAAAGTTTCAACCCAATCAGACTTGTACTTTAGAAGATACTGCCGAGTCCAAAGCCACGAAGTAGCACTGACATCTGAGTACTTGACCCTTGAGAAGGAGTACAGGTACCCAAGACTAAGTACTCGGACCTTTGAGTACAAGTTTTGTGAACCAAGTCTGAGTACTTGCACCTCCGAGTACCAACTGTACGAGTACACGGACTTCCAAGTACAAGTTTTTCATGGAGTACCCACATGAAAACAATTAAGATCTCAAGTAATGAATTGAAAATGAAACCACAAATTCAGCAACGTAGATGTTAAGAATTACTTTTAGGCATCAATACAACTGAGCATGTGTGTCTCCAAATGATGAAAATGGCGCGGGTGGAAATACATGTACGTATGCGTATGCTACAAAATGTCTGCCGCGTCCGATATAACAGCCAGTTTTTTTCGTCTTTTTTTGACAACGGTAAGACATTAGGTTAGTTTCATTTCAACCAGACCTTTGAAATTGAATAAGTAAACAATCCAAAACAAAAACATTCCTAGGATTTCAGGCCATAATGCCCCTTTAAAATGGTAACACTTCTTTTAACTCTTGTCTCTAACCTTCCTCTCCAGACTATCAACAGTGCCCACAAGGACTGGATCTGTGCACTAGATTTCTTGCCAGGACGTGACATTCTACTCAGCGGCTGCCGCGGAGGCTACCTCAAGCTGTGGCACATATGGGATTGCTCGCTTATTGGAGAAATGAAAGCACACACGAGTCCCATTAATTCCATAGCAACCAACGAAACGCACATATTCACAGCTTCCAGGTTAGTTACATTAATTGTTTTTTTTTTTCAGTTATTTTTTCTCCTATTATATCTGGGCAGATCTGATACACACTTTATTTTGTCAGTAAAAATCTTGCTGACTTTTTTGACACCACTTTCTCCAAAATGGCTTCCACATTTGTGAGGCGTTCTGACAAAATGAGAAAGAACTGGGCAGAGTTCGGAACGAGGGTTTGTAGGTATTAGGAAAAAGAATAAAATTCTCTTTACAATACTGTTTGTTGTACTTCAATCGGACAATCTGTTGACAATGTTCAGCTGTTAAAAAGTTCACATTTATCAACATGTCAAAAAAGTAAGAAACTGAGAAAAAGCTTGCTTTGCTTTGAGAAAAATGTATATCTTCTCGTCGGTGAAGGGCAAAACCTAATTTGATTTATATCACCCCGACGCAAAATTCCATCTTATAATAGTTTATGCGGTACCCGCTGCTATGTACATCAGATTCGAACCGGCCAACCGATCCCGTTAGCTCGGTGGTCGAGTGGTAAGACATCTGCACTAGAAAGCAGGAGGTCGTGGGTTCGAGTCCCACCCGAGTGATTTTTTCCAACTTTCACTCGGGAGGTAACACACTGAGTATACAGTGTTTAAAAAAACGTCGGTGAAGGGCAAAACCTACCGGTAATTTGATTTATATCTTCTCAGTTGAAATTTTGACAGGTTAGATTGTTAATATTCTGCTTCAGATTTTTTTTGGTCATATTGTTGATCCTTGAATCAGCAAAAATATTTTAATTTTTTTTTGCAAGTGGTTTCCGTTACCTCAAGTATCGTGATATGAATGAATGTTGCATTGAGAATGATGTATTTATTAGTATGAAAAGCTCTGTTATCTGAAAGAACAGAATGTTTTATCTGACATGAAAAATGAAAAAGAAATTAAGAACTGACCAGATTTGTGTTTTTCTCTTTCTCTCAAATTTATTTTCAAAAACATTTCTGTGTTAAATCTAAAAACAATTTTGTTCAACTTTCGAACTGCATTCTTTCATCACTTTCCAATTTTAACCAACATGGAAATTATTTTATCAAATGAACTGGATTTATTTTCTTTTACGTTGCATGAACAACTTTTATTTATTGATTTTGCTGCGATTGTTTTTATTACTTGTGCTTTAATTCAAAATTATGCAACACTAGCAATGTCATAAAAGTATGGACCTACAATCCAAAGAGCGTGCATCGGCGTTCCTACACACTAATGGACAAGTCACGTTTGCATGTAAAATGGCATAGCCTCTCCAGTCTTAGTGAAATATGAAACAAATTCTTGTTCTTGAAACAAACCCTTGTAAATGTCAACAGTTTTAAAAATGAGGACTTGTACATAATTTTATTTGAAAAAATGTGGGTATGTGCATGTTATCAGCCTTTAGAATATATTTTTTTCCCAAGATGCATGATACATACTTGTACATGTATGAACATGTACATGTACAACAGTTCAAAAATGACTAAATGTAGCATTAAGGAGACACGGTATTATAATTTCTTCGCACGATGGGAGACATTGGTCATTAGGGAGACATTTTCATGTCTCCCTTATGTCACAGCCCCCTTTAGAGGCCAAATTTTAATGTCGCAATTAGGTTATATTTGTTGCTCATGGTCTATTAAATTAGTAAACATACTGAAATTCGTGGGAAAAAGACAAGGGAATATTGGGTTAGGGCACATTTTTAAGTTTGAAAAATTTTGTGCACCAGTCTATGGGGATGTCTCCCAAATGTCCAATCCAGGGTAATACTACTACTACTAATAATGTGTTTATATAGCGCTTTATACCAACGGTCTCCAAGCGCTTTACAGTTATTACCCCTGTTCATCAGGCCATGAGACCAGTTTTTGCAGCAGCTCGAGATCAGCGCATTCTAGGCTCTACCTTTACAGATACCCATTTATACTCCAGGGTGGAGAGAAACAATTGTAGTAAAGTATCTTGCCGAAGCACACTATCAGCATGTTCCCTGTCAGGGTTCGAACTCACGCATCACGGCACGTGAGTCGAACACCGTAACCATTGGACCACAGTGCTCCAAAACATGCATCTTCAAGCATGTGGATTTGTTTTTTTACTGGGTGAAAGGATCTATGTTTTTGCACGTCTAAGGTCGTTTACATAAAAGTGCTGTTAACAGAAAGTGGAAATGAAAAGTGTATGGCATATTGCAAAGTACATGTAGTAATTATTGATACATTGGAGGAAAACGGCTCGTTATTATGTAATTTATCCGCAAAAATTCGAAAGGTTTATAGGGTAATGTCATATACATGTAGCCACGATCTACATGTATAATGTTATATTAACTACCCGTGCATTGTTGGTCAGAATGCGGGTTCATTGCGCAATATTTTGGAAAAGATCTCCGTGGCTTTGCAGCGCAGCCCAGTGTCGCTTTGTCTGAGTATCATCCGTTGTTCAACGGAGACTGCACACTTTAGCTCCACAGCCAACACCTGTTATACATTGTACCAGGTACATGTACCATACACTGAATGTGTGTAGTACAAATTTAAGCGACTCTGCACGCTAGCCAATTGGAGCTGTTGATTGGTAAATTTGCTGCTGTGTTTTCGTTAATACAACGGGTAACCGAAGACCCGATAGAGGGCACCTGCTGAATGTTCAGAATCTGGAGGTCAAGACACAGTGATGTTTTGCATTATAAATTAATAGTTGAATCTGCACAGATATCATAAACGCTTGCTTTAATTGCTACATGTACATGTACATGTACTTGTATGTTTTCTACTATTACATGTACATGTAGTATGTGTCGCTCTTGTGGCTCTACCATTGATTAGGCACATCACGCACAGTTTAAACTGTCCCATTGAAACCAACACAATCTACCGGTAACTTATTCCAAATCCGTGCGGAAATCTGTTACCGTGCACGGTGCAAAATGGCTCTGTCATGTTTACACTGTGCATTTGCATGATTATTTCTTGCATTACACAGTGCAAAATGGCTCTGTCATATTTACACTGTGCATTTGCATGATTATTTCTTGCATTTACATAATTATGTACACGCTAATGCAAGTGTTGGTGCTAGTACTCTCAAATTAAATTCAGATTTGATCTGTTTTCATGCTTGACTACTTTGACATGGAGTTTGAACCAATATACACTGGATAATATACTTTGATTGAACAACAGCTACACGTATTATTTGAAACTTGTACTGATAGAATACTATTTTTTGTTCTTCATAATCTAATACCTAACAACTAACATATAACCTCACTGCATATTATTTTGCCACACCCTCCTCCCCTTTCTTTCCTACTCCGCCAATCCTAATATCTAAACAGCGATCGCACTGTCAGTGTGTGGAAGCCCCAAGGTACGCCAGAGATTCCCGCCAAGGAGAACGGACTCGACAGCTAACAGTGCAACTATGAACACCTGAGCTAGTCTTCCGCAGTTGGAATACCCATCTGGACCTAGTTTATAGACAACACAAGTTTGGGCTCCGTGCGCGAACAAGAGAGGGCACTTTTTGACCATTCGCGAGAGGCCTGTGAACAGGACACCACATGCGCGTACGTATACGCGCGTGCATAGTGCGAAGTACGCACCACTGATTCGATTCTGAATGTATTGTTGATGTACCCTAACGTGGCGCGGCCCCTAACGTGGCGCACTTTGATTTTTCACCTGTAGCGCCTAGCTAGAGCAATAGTTTTAACTGAAATTTCACAGAAAGTGAAATTTCATCAAGTTCTAAACACTCCCGTTCATAAATTGCGAGTTTATTTACCCGCTACAAAGTTTAAAGAAAAATTATTTTGGCGTGATTTTCCGATTTTATTTTCAAGTGCAAAGTGAAACCTTTGAAAATGCCCCGAAAAATAAGAAAATAATTTTCTGACAAACATCTGGCTGGGTATGTAAGTAGAAATAATAATGATTTATCAGAATTTATCAAGTTTACAGAAATTCTTAAATGTTAATTTGGAATTTTCCGAGATTTATTTAAGTGCGCCACGTTAGGGAACACTCCGCCAATTTGTGCCCAATTTCCGGACGCCACCGTTTTTTAATTTCGGCTTAAATGTTATGAAACCGAAATTGTTCACGGAGGTTAAATAGCAAGCATTAATAAGGTAAAAGTACCAGTATTTTACTGCATGAATGTGAGGTTTGTCAACAAAGAGGTTTGGCAACACTACACGAGGAAAGTTGGGTAAGCTTCGAAGTGCGCCACGTTAGGGAACACGACTATACACAAAGCCATTTCGGCAATACGTTTGAATTGTCACTCCTAGTGGTCTCCCCAGCTCTCCCTTTCTTATCATGGGGGTATTTGTGCCCGGAGCCCAAAACTGTAGTTGTACACCAGAAATTCCAGCCAAGGAGAAGGGACATGACAGCTACAATGTAACAGTAAGTTCAACTAATGACATCTGTGCTGGTTGTCCGTTGTTTTAAACCCCATCGGGACCAAGTTTTATAAACAACACCGGAGTAACCTTAATAAGTGTCTTGAGAAGCCCCTTGGTGCCTTGAAACCACAAAACAGAGAAAAGACATGAGAGGTAATGGTTTCATGCACAAAGCAGTGTTGCCACACTGACAAGTAGTTGGCGCTTTTTGATTTTTTCACTGATTAAAAGGAATATGATGTGTAGGACTACATGTACATTTGTGCCTGTTTAATGATGATGAGTGGTTCAAATCCCTGTCTCTCAATTCAAACATTCCTCTTGCTCAAAATGAATTGAGTTTTTTGTATTATTTTGTAATGTTGTGAAGATGGTGGGCCAGTGTGGTGTACATTGTATATTGAAAAGAGTGTTGTGGGGGAGTCCATCACAAGTCCGGTCCGAATGTTTATGAGGACTTGTGAGGATTTGAGAGAACCTGTGAGGGCTTGCGAGGACTTGCGAGGACCTGGGAGAAATTGCGAGGACTTGAAAGGACTTGTGAGGACTTGCAAGGACTTGCGAGGACTTGCGAGGACCTGCAAGGACTTGTTGCGAGGACTTGCGAGGACCTGCAAGGACTTGCGAGGACTTACGAGGACCTGCAAGGACTTGCAAGGACCTGCAAGGACTTGCGAGGACCTGCAAGGACTTGCGAGGACCTGCAAGGACTTGTTGCGAGGACTTGCGAGGACCTGCAAGGACTTGCGAGGACTTACGAGGACCTGCAAGGACTTGCAAGGACCTGCAAGGACTTGCGAGGACCTGCAAGGACTTGGGAGGACCTGCAAGGACCTGCGATGGCTTACGAGGACCTGTGAAGGACTCGACTACAACACTGACTGAAACAAAATTGTTGCATGTGCTTTCTCTACCAGATTCAGAGAAAAGAAAGCCCATAGTACAGTTTAATACCTAAATAACTGTGATTCGGGAAAATACATGCATAAAGTATGCGTGTGTTAAAGGGAATATTTACAACATTTGCTTTTGCTGTAATTTTCAGAAACAGATGGAGTTGGGGGTTAGAATTTTATAGCAAACTTGTTCAAAGTTTTGTGTTCGAAAATGTTGGAAAAACCACTTTTCCTAAAAATGACAGCTTACCAGGTGCCATGATTTACAGGATGCTTTAGACTGTCATTCACTAACGGTCCAATAAGGTATTTCAAAATAAATTGGTTGTTTTGTTTTTTAATGTTTGCAAATGTTGTATATTCCCATTAATTAAACAATCGTACTATATGTATTTCAGTTTCTTTTAAAGCTCTGGCCTGGCCCTAATTTATTGTTGGTAGATTAATGTTAACAACAACATGATTTTTTGCAATTTTTCCAGATTGGACATGTGAATTTTTATTTCTGGTTATTGTTACTGTTTAGTCAAACATTTAGACTGTATTTGGTTGTTTTTTTGTTTACTTATACCAGTGGGTATGAATTGGGTTATGGTGTTGGTAATACATGTATACAATTTTATGCTGGGATTTTGTCTTGTTTTTGTTTTTGTTAGACACAAGTTTACATGTAAGCCCATACATGTGTTTCAAATACTGGACTTCCTCCCCGTTAAGAGCGACTCAGTGATATGTACCAACTTTCCTGAAAAATTTTGTGTTTCCTAAATTTGAAATCTAGACTTTTCCCACACGAAATTCGTTATACTACCTAGTACCTACTGAAATGATTAGGAACCAGGAAAAATTGAATTCCTTACCTCTATACGTCTAGTTATCCTTTCATTTTCAGGGGATTTTGGAGAGAGTTTGTCCAAAATGACTGCACGATTACTCTAAAGGTCATGGGTTTTTACTAGGTCAGGCCTAAACAAATTGTGGTTTTACGGTAACTTGACTTACCTGGATATTTTTAGGCCAAATTTCCGACCTCAGATCTTATTTTGCCACACTTGGCCGAAAATATTAAAAAAATAGTTTAATTTATGTCGAAAATTTAAACAAAACCTTCAAGTTAAGCATGTTTTGTGTGTTATTGGTCAATTTAACAATTAAACAGGTATATTATAAGCAAATTAGTTATAAGCATCCCAAAGTTAACAAAAAGTAAGTTGGCCTATAAAAGACCGACAGACAAAAAGAAAAAGTTACACAAAATTATTTTCCTACCTACATGTACATGTACCGTACCTAGATAATTTCTAGGGCATTACCAATACACAATCTTTTCTCGGCCTACGTAGCTTCCATATAGCGATGATCAATTGAAAACAATCAAGATTTCAAATTCAGGAAACAAAACCCGTCAGGAAATTTAGCACGCATCGCTGGGTTGCTCTTATTACGGAGGAAATGAAGTATTGGAGACATATTTTGGCGGTTCCTAATGGATAACAGTTAGAAAACTGTGGTATTATTTTGGAATGTAAATATTTATAAGGTTTAAAGAATATATTCCCTTTTGGTCACACAAGGGTGTATTTAATGCTAAACTGGTGCCAAGATGCGTAGAAACGGAAAGAAATTGTTGGACGATTATAAGATGCAGAGACAATTTGAATATAAAATGGTTTTTAAGATCAATGTTGCATGTACAAATTGAAATTCAAAGAGGATTAGATATTCAAATATTTGAAATAATTGTAGCGAGAAATGTTGATGAATATTATCATGAAGAGCAAGATTTTGTGTACGTTTTATCACTGGTTATAGATGGTACATAACCTTGTAAAATATTGCTAGGATAGGCATAAATAAGCCTATTGTGCATTTGTTAATAAATTAAAATAACAAAATAACCCCTTTGGACGTATGATGATGCAACTTAGACAAATAATGCAGCAATCGTGTAGTTTAGAACCCTTACGTTTTGCAAGTTCTGTTCATAAATCAAAAACCAGCCCTCTTTCCACAAAATTAAGCAAGCTGATATTCAACATGGTATTTTAGCGATTTATTAAGATGATTCTCAAGACATAATTTGACATTTCCAGCTTGTATCATGGCCAAATGTTAAGGCATTAAGCCTAAGTTACGGAATTCTTTCAGTTTAAAACTTAATTAAAAACGGTTTGAATATTAGTGATACCTTTTGGACTTCTTTCGAGAATGATGTTCCTGTACTGCTTTTCCTCGCGCAATACATGTACAAGTTACAACTGTGTGCGGTGTACACAATGTACGCACAATATGACGTACGTGCGTGAAGTTTAAGCAAACTTTAGCAAATATATTTCTGTATTGCGTTCACTTGACGCTTGGTGGCAGCAGACTAGAAAACTACTGTGCATGCACAGTGAAGCTCAATTGCGCATGGATGACAGTTTAACACAATGGCTATAAAAATACTTACTCTTACCCCTAACCAGTGGGCAAAATAACTATAGTGTCTCCACGAAGGCACCTTTCAAACTTTTCAACTGCATAGATTTCAAATACTAAAAAAGCCATGTCTCTCTCCTTGTTGATAGTTGCCAAAAACACTTCAGAATTGAGCGAAAATCTAAACGATTCTTCGTCATGACACGTAAGTACATCATCACCACACATAATGACCGCCATATTTGCAGCGCGATAACCCAGTTGCAATATGGATATATCTTCCTAGTCCTGCACATGATTAGCATACATTAAGAGAAAATCCCCCTGTTGTATTCTTTAGAAGGCCGAAAGACAATAGAGGAACTAGTCTAAATTCCCTCTGGTCATTTGTAATCGCTATAACTGGACCAAATTCATGGTAAAGTGTGTTATTTATCGTTCAAAGAAAAAAAATATTGCTATTAACTATTTTTAAAACTACCATCGACCACGCCAAATTAAGAAGAAATGAAACATGATGCAAGTTCTGGCATTATCAAAAGTGGTATTTACACATCAAAGGTCAAAACCAAAGGTCAAAGTTCAAAGAGTCAAAACAGTGTGTGAATGTATTGTGGTGTTAATGTGAAAGCTACACACAAAAATATATGTATTAAATCATGGTAAATGTGTTGGCAGCTATCTAAGACTAAATCTGTATTATATTGCACTTTGAAAAAAAGGAACTGGTATAAACGGAATAGAATTGTACAAATTAAAGAATTTATTTCTATTAGGCAGAGGTAGCGCAATATGCTTATTTATTTTGCTAAAAGGGTTGAGATAGCTGTTAAAATACTTTATTTAAATATCTGGGGTTAATGTTTCTTTGTCGAAATAATTATCGCACACTTTTACTTTTCCTCAAATATGCTTGACTTGAGGCTTTGTGTTTACAATTTACAAATATGTTGCTTTTCAGTAATT